CAATGGATTAGCAGTCCATCGCCTTAACCACTCGGCCACCTCGTCCCAGAAGCTTACCTCTTCCTGGTAGGTATAGGGAGTGATACTAGGGGGATGTGACGCAACGTTATGGAAGTCGCCATTTTGTACGGAAGCCAACGTCGCTCATTTCTATAACGGACAATCGAAAGAAGATGGCCGCTTTCATGATGTTGGAAAGCCTTCGCTGGGAAGGGGACATCATTTTCAGTAGAAAATGAGATGCATTTTAAGAAGTTAAATTGTCACAGAGGTTGGCAAAGAAGTTTAATTGAAAGCATGTTAGGAGCGCCGCTGTTCCGAAATCTGAGGGGCGGAGTCGACACGTAGAGCGGCTTTGCGCGTGCGCATCAGCTAGGCGGTTAGATTTGAATACTTCGCTGAGTTTGGCTGGGCGTTGTGTGGTGACGTCTTTGCTGAAGAGCGCGCGGACCCCAAACAAGTTAAGCTGGTGGGCTGTGGCAGGTAAGGAGAATGACCCTCTCTCATTCTGAGCTCCTGAGAGGATGTGGGTTTTGTCTGAGCACTTTGGAGGTCCCGCATGGGAGGTGGAGGATGCTGGGTCAGTCCCGCGGCCTCCGAATGCGGCGGGCGCAGGGCTCTTTTCTCACCCGGGCCTGCACTTTGTTCCTCCTCTCCTCCCTAGCGCTTTGGCAACCACACCTGTGCTCTCGGACCGCCTCGGATCGCTTGCTCGTCTAGCTCGCGGCTTCCTGGCCCGCCCACACCTTTCATTTTTCTTTTTGGTTGTTTGTATTTCTGACTTAAGCTTTTCTTTGCTATAAATGAAGCGACAACAATGAGTGATATTTAAGCTCTCGGCTCTCATTGGTTACCTAGCAGCACAGAACCGGTTTTCGGTTTTCTGCAGATACTGTTAACAAAGTCAATTTAAGCATCCCACACTTTTTTTTTTTTTAAATCTTCTTCTGACCGGCTCAGGGTCAAAGCTCCTTTTTCTTGCTGTTTATTTAAATATTAGAGTTTGGGAAGAAAAATGCTGCTGTTTGGAATTTTAAAGATGGGTTTATTAGGCGTTAACAGAGATAAAGGGTGGTGCGGATGAAGACCAAAGCACAAGGTAACTCGGGATATGAAGACCGAAGTAACTTTTCAAATCAGTTGAATTGGATCAACTGAATTCCTCATATTTATTGGGTTCCTTGCCTTGTGCTAGGGCTGGGAGTCCCTAAGTCCCAGAAAGGGAAATAATTAGTATATACAAAATAACTGTGATACAAGACAGAATGTAAGGAATTATAAGACATTCCAAAGAGGTATGATAAACAGAAAGGAGAACTGATTTGATGCTTTTGACAATGAAGAATTAAAGTGGATTTCATGGAGAAAATGGCATTTGAAGTGGAACTTGGAGGAATGATTTACAGAAATGGAGAGTTAATATTGTAAAATTTTGAAAATTAAAGGTTAGGTTCAAAGCAATACAATTTTTGACCCTTTAAATGACTGGAAATGTTCATAGGGAAACAGATACATGTAAATTGAGTAAAAATGGAATGATAGTCTTTAATGATGTGTTGAATACTAATAAAATTGAAGATACTCTAGATATTGATAGTAGGATGGTGGTCTCCAGTAGAACTTTCACAGTGGTAATACTTTATATCTGTGCTGTCCAACACAGTATTCATTAACTTCTGTGGCTATTGAACACTTGAAATGTGGCTGTTGTGATCAAAAACCTGAATTTTATTTTAATTAATGTAAATGTAAATAACTCCTATATTGGACAGCACTGGTCTATAACACTGGACAATGGAAAATATTTACTCTAGGTATTGGTGGTGTAAATTCAGGAGTAGACAGAGAGCCAGATAGTAAATATTTCAGGCTTTGCGGGCTACAAAGTCACTGGCATGGTCTCTGTTACATTCTTTGTTTTGTTGTTGTCTTCGTTTTCTATACCTCATTAAAAAATTAGCTTTGTTTTCTATGTGAAAACTTAAAATTAAAAATGTGAAAAACTGCTTTTAGCTCAAGGGCTGATTTGGTCTAGTGGCAATGGTTTACAGTCCCCTGGATTATTTCTACTACAGGTTAGGAAGCTTTCTTGGTTCAGGTGACATCCTTAGGCAAACAAACAAACAAACACAAAAACCTGGTAATTTTATTTCAGTAGTTAAATACAAACAGCTTAATGAGTATATATGTTCTAACAATTCATAGCCATTTGAAAAAATACGCATAAATTGAAGGAAAAGAACATATTTACTTTTTTTCTTAAATAATCATGGTTACTAGGGCTGGGGCTGGGGCTGGGGCTGAGCAGTAAAGCGCTTACCTCACATGTGTGAGGCATTGGGTTCAATCCTCAGCACCACATACAAATAAATAAATGAAATAAAGGTATTGTGTCCATTTACAACAAAATATTAAAAATTAGATATGTGTACCTCTTAGATACTGTACAAAATCTCAAACCTTGGAATCAGATTGTACATAGCCACTCATTTCCTGAGCCACTTTGATATAAACAAACAAACAAAAAAACCTTGATTTTATTTATATCAATTGCCAAAAATCTAGCTTCACAGTAATATATTATTAAATATGAATGGGTACTATTTTGAGCTAATGGTTCACATGGTGCCTGTCAGATGTTGAAAATGGGGTGTTTCAAAAACTAAAAATAAACAAACACCTCTGTGCTATGCTGCCAGCACCCTGGATGCCAGGTGCACAGTTTTGAGGCTAATCAGTAAAAATTACTACGTAATTAATAGTTCAGCTGGACTGTGTTTTATAAGTGAGACTTAATATGATACTCTGGGGTCTCCTATTTCGTTGAGGGTAAAACTTAAACAGTTAAATATTAAGAAGATGGGACGTCAGTAAACTTTGAATCTCATCAGATAATCAAGTACTAACCAATCTCCAGGTTCAACAGGAGTTGTGCTCAATGACTATTTCAAACAGTCATTTTGATGTTTAGGTGACCTTGAGCTGATAAGTATTTAGTATTTTTATCTGGAGTTTGAATATGTATACTGAGTTTGAAAATATTCCCAAAGAAGATAAAAATATGCTGGTTGGTAATCATAAAGTCAATTTTATTTTTAATTGTGGTTTTGGGAATTAAACCTTGCACATGCCAAGCAAGTGCTCTACTGCTGAGCTAATTACCCAGCCCCAAATAATTGTTTCTTCATTACTCATTGAGCAAGTATTTATTGAGCTCCTTCTATTTACAAAGCACTGCTAGCTGTAATAGTGAACATAAGATTCATCAGCTCTAGTCTCATAATTTACTGTTGGAGCAAGGGTAGTTTGTGGAGCTAATAGAAATAACAGACATTTATTTATTTATATATTTATTTATGTATGTATGTATTTGTGGTACTAGGAGTTGAACTTAGGGCCTCAAGCGTGGAAGGCAGATACTACCACTGAGCTACATCCACAGCCCTAAAAAGCGTACTTTTAATTTATGAAAGAAACACTCAAAAGGAAGTATACATAATGCTACCAAGAGGATAAACACAACACCTTTATTTATTTTTCTGTGGTGCTGAGGATTGAACCCAGTGTCTCACATCTGCTAGGCAAGTGCTCTGCCACTGAGCTATAACCCTGGCCTTTTCTTGTCTTTCTTACCAAGAGAGAATAGCAAATATAAACACATAGATTTAAGGAAGAGTTCTGTGTGTTTAGGGATTGAAAGAAAGGCTAGGGGAATAGTATAGTCAGAGAGGAGACTGGTAAGAGATGAAATATAAAGCCTAAGGCAAGCAGGGACTAGATCTGGTAGAACTCTATAGGTCTTAGTAAAGTGTTTATTCTCAGCACAGTGGAAAGCCACTCTATAGGTCTTAGTAAAATGTTTATTCTCAGCACAATGGAAAGCCAATGGAGATAACTAACTGCTGTTTAGAAAGAAAATTGTAGAGGGATAAGAGTGAAAGCAAGGATACCAGGGAGGTAGATATTATGATATTTTATGTAAGAGTTCATAGTAGATTGAACTATGGTGTCGAACTGAAAATAGAAATGAATGGACTGAAAAAATGTACTGAAAATAGAACTACTAAGACTGGATGAATTAAATAGAAATGGCTGTTGCACTTGTTTGATCTTACAGAAGTTCAACCATTAAGTTGATGTTTACTATTGTTTTTTTAAATAGATACTGTTAATTCAGACTCTGCCTCTAGCTTGGTAAGGGTTTTGTTTTGTTTTTTGAAGAACAAGAAAGGATGTTAAAGTTCATACTTTTTTTTTCATCTGTTATTATATGATTTTCATTTTTAATCTCTTAGTATGATAAAATTTCAAGGTTTATTTTCTAGAGTTAAACCAGTTTTGTGTTTCTGGAATAAAGCAAACATGACTACGATACAATATTCTTTTTCCTAATAATTTATTTAGAATTTTCTTATTTGTGATAGTGAGATTGGCATGCAATCTTTACTTTCTTGTACTGTATTTATCTGTTTGTGCATGAGTGTGTAGAGAAAAGGAGGCAGTTGCAAGAAAGGGTGCTTAATTTTCATTTCCCATGGTTTAATGCTAAAACTAGACAAATCAAAATTTAGCAATATAAACAATTTATCTAGACCAACACATATAAAAATATGTACAAAGTGAGAGTGGTTGCTTTTGGGAAGGAGGAGTTTGGAATGCAGAAAGCTGCTGGTTTAAAAAGCAGCAATCGGTGTCTGTTTTAGCTATCTAATGGACAAGTTTTTATTTTAACCAGTTAAGTTCATATCATTCTCATCAATATTAGTACAGATTTTATCTTGAATATAAGAATTTTCTGGGAGTGTTAATCAAAATGCAGTAGTTTGAACTCCTTGAAGTATCTCATATTTTAGAGCTCATATATTTTTCCTTCTATTTTTGGTCTTCTTAGAAAGTAACCCTAAAATCTCAACAGTGTTCTTATTTCCTCATAGATTGTAATTTTTCTTCCTTCTTATGTACCTTTTCTAATATTGTGTATTTATTTCAGGAAAAAAAGTTTTCTTAAAATATGGATGGGGTGTCTTCAGAGACTAATGAAGAAAAGTAAGTTCATGATTCTGTGTATCTAAAAATGTTATATTCTATTAGAGAATGATACTTTTCCAACTAGTAAGACCTGTTAATGAACTTCAGAAATATTTTTCCTGGGGCCGGGGATGTGGCTCAAACAGTAGCATTCTCGCCTGGCATGCGAGGGACCCAGGTTCGATCCTCAGCACCACATACAAAACAAAAGATGTTGTGTCCGCTGAAAACTGAAAAATAAATATTTAAAAAAAAAAAGAAATATTTTTCCTTTGTGTTTCAGGGAAAACAAGAACATATAATAAAGTGATAATATAAATTCATCAGAGTCAAAACTGAGGGACTTTAGATACCACCTGTCATCTCCTGTTGTTTTGAGTAAGAGTGAGAAAACTGAGGCTCAGGAAGATTAAATGAATTATCTAAAGTTGGCATCACAAATTGGTGACCTGTTTGTAGCCTACAAACATTTTACTGCCCTACAAATTTTTTAAAAAAAAATTTGCTTAGTTGCCAAAATTGCAAAATCTCATGGTTTCATAGAATAATTGGATTTTTAGCTTCTCTTGAAAAATCAAATGTGACAACACTGGGATCATAGTCTTGCTTGGAGCGGCTAGCAAAGTAATGGCTGTGACCTTTAGACCAAGCAGAAATTTTCTAATTCATTGTAGTCTCTACAATACGCATTTTTCTTATACCTAACAAATTATGTTTGGCCTCATGATATTTGGGTTTTCAAAACCTGGTATATAAATCACACAGTAGTAAGAATCAGAGGCAGAGAATCTCTTGATTTGTAGCCCACTTATCTTATTTTTATTTTTTAGTTGTCAATGTACCTTTATTTTATTTATTTTTATGTGGTGCTGAGGACCGAACTCAGTGCCTCACACATGCTAGGCATAACTGAGGCATAACTCCAACCCCCCATTTATCTTTTAATTGTACCTCTATAGGTATAGTAAATTATGTTGTACTGGTTATTATTCAAGAGATAATCTTGTAGTATACAATATATATTTTAAAACACTGAATTACTAAATACTTGGTCTTATACTGTAATACAAGTATAAAATTTTGCTGGACAGAGTGAAAGAAAGCAATGGCCAGTTTTAAAGTATGTAAAGGGTGATGTGATGATGACTTTTGGAAATTCATTCTTTTACCTATGTATACATAATTTTTTTCCCTTTCACAGTGACAATAGAGAGAGACCTGTTAGAAGACGGCATTCCTCAGTAAGAAACAATTATTGTTACCTTTTATTAAACAATAATGATATACTACAATAATTTTTACTGTGGCCTCACCTTCCCACTTCCACTAGCTTCCTATGAATAAAGACTCAAAAAAAATTATTCATTTGATACTAGGATTTGAACCCAGGGGTGCTCTAACACTGAGCTACATCACCATCTCTTTTTAGATTTTATTTTGAGACAGGGTCTCACTAAGTTGCCCAGGCTGGCCTGGAACCTTGATCCTCTTGCCTCAATTTTCTGAGTCACTGGGATTATAAGTGTGTTCCACTGTGCCCTGCCAAGACTCAAATATTTAACCCAAGTACAAAAATCTGTAAACCAGTCGGGTGCAGTGGTACACACCTATAATCCCAGTGGCTCAAGAGGCTGAGACAGGAGAATAGGGAGTTCAAAGCCAGCCTCAGCAATGGTGAGATGCTAAGCAACTCAGTGAGACCCTGTCTCTAAATAAAACACAAAATAGGGCTGGGGATGTGACTCAGTGGTCGAGTACTTCTGAGTTCAATCCCTGGTAGTATAAATAAATAAGGGCTAGGGATTTTGCTAAGTGGTTAAGCACCCCTGGGTTCAATCCCCCAGTAACCCCCCCCCCAAAAAATCTGTGAACCAAAATTCATATTTTATAAATTTTATTATAATTTAATGCATAAATTATACCTCAATAAAGGTGTTTAAAATTATATTTAACCTGATATACAAAGCTATTGCAAGACACAAAAATCTAACCCAAACTGATATATAATATATATCAGTTTATGAAACTGAAAAATCCAAAGATAGGGATGGCTGTAGGCATAACTTATGGATGAGAGAGTTCAACAATGGAACCTTCTAGGATTTCCTTTTTCATTTTCTATTCTGACTGCTTCCTCTGGGTAATCTCTGATAGCAGCCAGATCCTCTCCCTGTGATGACTGTGATACATCTAGCTCTCCCTACTCCCGGGTTCACATTCTGCCCCAGCCCCTTTTTAAATTTTGAAATAGGATCTTATTAAATTGTGGAGGCTGACCTTGAGCTATCTATACTGCTGCCTCAGCCTCCTGAGTAACTAGGATTAAAGGCATGGGTCATGCCCCTCACCTCTATCAAACAATTATTGTGTTGTTCTAGACAAGGCTATGAGTTATATATACCCTGGAGTTGATGTGGAACTTCACACAGACCATGTGGGATGAGAGTAGGCAAAATAATTAGGGAGAGTAGGCAAGGAGAAATGAATAAATGCCTAATATTTTAATCTGCCACATAACTCTAAGCAATATGACTTTGAAGGATTTCATATATTCTAATGGAAATTTTGGCTTTCTAGCTATAAATTGAAATAAAGTGATTATTAACAGATATGCCAGATTTTCTTGAATAATTATAATTATTACCTCTAGATTTTGAAACCCCCAAGGAGTCCTCTTCAGGACCTCAGAAATGGGAATGAAATAGTTCAGGTAAGTCTCTAGGCAATTGCTTTATAGATTTCTCTTTTCAGTGATTCTCCCCTACCCCAAGTACTGGGTCTTACACATGCTAGGCAAACACTCTGTTACTGAGCTACAGCCCCAGCCCTTTTAAAAATTTATTTATTTATTTAAAAATTTTTGAGACAGGATCTCCTTTAGTTGCCCAGGATTACCTCAAACTTGTGATTCTTCTGTGTCAGCCTCCCAGGCAGCTAGGATTACAGGCATGTGCCACCACATTTGGCCTTCTATGATTTTTGTGTGTGTGTGTATAGCGGGGGATTGAACCCAGGAGCACTCAGCCACTGAGCCACATTCCAAGTCCTATTTTATTTAGAGACAGGGTCTCACTGAGTTGCTTATTACACCTCACTTTTGCTGAGACTGGCTTTGAACTCAGATCCTCCTGCCTCAGCCTCCTGAGCCGCTGGGATTATAGGTGTGTCACCTGTAGCTTAATCAGGAATTTTATTTGCTATATGAAAAGAGAACATCATCCCATCTGATTCAAATGTATGATATGTCAAGGTCATTGTACTGTCATGTGTAACTAATTAAAACAAATTTTTTTAAAAAAAAGAACTTCATGAATGATTTCTATTTGAATGTGTAAAAAAGACAAGCATTCCATGACCTTCAGGTTAAAATGCAACACTTGCTGGCTGGGGATGTAGCTCAGTGGTAGAACACATCTAGCGTGCATAAGGCCCTGGGTTCCATCTGTAGGATTGCAAAAAAAAAAAAAAAATCCAAATACATACTGGCATTTGTGATTCTTAGGCCTATTTACTTTTCCAGACTTTTTTCTTGTTACTTTCACATGTTTACCTTACCACTCAGAATTGCTTATTATTCCCCAAACAAAAAATAAGTTATTACACCTGCAAGTATTTATGTATGCTATTCCCTTTGTCTGCATGGCTGGTCCTTCATTCCTTTTTCTGCCAAGATTTGAACAAAAATATTTTTTCAAACATACCAAAAAGCAAAGAATTTTACTGTATATTCATCACCTAGATTCTAGAATTAACATTTAATAATGCTTACTTATCATAAATACTCTTTTCTCTTTGGTGAAAGTAGGGTACTAGGGGTTGAATCCAGGTGTGCTTTACCTCTGAGCTGCCTCTTCTCCGCGGCCCCCTCCCTCCCCCCACCTCCCCCCCCCCCTTTTTTTTTTGAGACAGGATTTTACTAAGTTGCTTAGGGCCTCAATAAGTTGCTGAGGCTGGCCTCGAACTTGTGTTCCTCTTGCCTCAGCCTCCCAAGTTACTGGGATAACAGAAGTGGACCACATGCCTAGCTATATCCCCCTTCTTTATTTAATTAATTCCTATTTTTCCTTTAAGATTTATCTTCTCATAGAAGATCATCAGTTTAACATTTTATTATTATAATTTTTTACTTCTGTCTATTCTAAATTGAGAATTCCAGGCTACATAATTCCAAGTGCTCACTCTGCATTTGCTTCTCTAATTCTGTTTCTTAAATGCATCAAGCTTTTCTTGCTTCAGGGTCTCTGCACACATTTTGCATAGAATCCTTTCCCCTTACTCAACACTTCCCTTTTTTTATTTTGGTACTGGGAATTGAGAGCTACATCTGTACTCCTTTTTATTTATTTTAATTTTGAGATAGGGTTTCACTAAGTTGCTAAGGCTGGCCTTGAACCTGCAGTCCTCCTGTCTCAACCTCCTGAGTCTCTGTCCTTTACCAACTTCTTCATCTGGCTAACTTCTAACTAATCCTTCAGGTCTCAAGTTAAATGTACTTTCCTAAAGAAAACTTCCCTGATTTTTACATATTTATTGGACACAATACCTTTATTTTATTTACTTCTATGTAGTGCTGAGGATCGAACCCAGGGCCTTGTATGTGCTAGGCGAGCACTTTACCGCCGAGTCACAACCCCAGCCCCACTAAATTAGATTTTTATATGTAATTTTCCTTTATAACACTTTGCACTCTTTGAATTTTATTTGTGTGAATTTGTTGTCATTAGTCTAATCCCCCATGGAATTGTATCCATGTTATTTATCTCTATTTTTCCATCAGTAGTACAGAATCGTGTGTGTGTGTGTATTTTTAAAAAATTGAACCAGTGTTGAATGAGTAAATGTCAGACTTATGCAGCTTTAAAACCAACAGGATCTTATCAGTAATCTTGAATTTAGTTCCTGCATTTTATAGATGAGAAATACAAGATCCAAAGAGGTAAATGTTTTATCTGTGGTGTCTGCTAGGGTCTTAAGTATATAGACTCCTTGTTGCAAAGGGGATACCATTCCTTATTATTTATTATAATAAGGCTTATACTCAGGTATCCACAATTAATCCGGTGAAATTCTCTGTGAATTTGTCTTTTGTTTTTTGTATGGGGTCTATGTGAAAAATGTTTATTCTTGTTAAGAAGGAAGGTAGGAAAGAAAAATAGTATATTAAAATGAAAAGATGTTCAACATTACTGATTATTAGGGAAATGCAAATCAAAACCACAATACCACCTTACAGTCTTAGGATGGCTGTTGAAAAATAAAAAATAACAAGTATCAGCAATGATATAGAAAAATGCACCTATGTGTACTGTTGATGGGAATTAAAATGATATTTGCTGTGAAAAACAGTATGGTAATTCCTCAATAAATTCAAATTAGAATTACCATATAATCCAACAAGAAATAAAAGGAGCATCTTGGAGAGAGATTTGAGTACCTATGTTTGCAGTAGCATTATTCACAGTAGCCAGAAAGCAGAAGCAAACCAGATGTCAGTACGTGGATAATTGGGTAAACAAAATGTGGTATTTCCATACAATGAAATTATTTAAAAAAGGAAAGCCAGGTGGTGCCTGTGATTCCAGTGACTCAGGAGGCTGAAGTACCAAGATTACAGGTTCTACAGGTTCAAGGTTAACCTGGGCAACTCAGTGCAAGAACCTGTGGATGTAGTTCATAGCTTATTGGTAAAGCGCCCCTACATTCTATCCCCAGGACTTAAAAAAAGAAAAGAAATTCTGACATACCATGCATGAACAAAAGGTAATTTTTTTTTTTTTTTTTTTTTTTTTGTACTGGGGATTTTACCCAGGGATGTTTAACAATGAGCCACATCCCTAGTCCTTTTTATTTTTTATGTTGAAATAGGATCTCATTAAGTTGCTCAGGGTCTCACTGAGTTGGAGGATGGCTTTGAACCTGTGATCCTTCTGTCACTTCCAAGTCACTGGGATTACAGGCATGTGCCACCACGCCCAATACAAAAAGATAAATTTCATGTTATTATTTTAATGAGGTATCTACTATAATCAGATTCATAGATACTAAAAATAGAATGGTGATTGCTAGGAATTAGAGGTAGGAGGGAATGGGGAGTTTTTTTTAATGTTAAATGTTATAGTTTCTGTTCTGCAAGATGAAAATAAATCTCGATTGGTTATACAACAGGGTGGATGTATACACAACAGTATTAAACTGTATACTTTAAAATCGTTAAGATGATAACATAAAATTTATCATCATGTATTTTTTTAATACTTTTAGTTGTAGATGGCACAATACCTTTATTTTATTTATTTATTTTTATGTGGTGCTGAGGACCAAACCCTCTACCTCACACGCGCTAGGTACACACTCTACCACTGAGCTAAAACCCCAACCCTTTATTTTATTTTTGAAACAGTATGCCAAATTGCTGAGACTGACCTTGAACTTGTGACCCTCCTGCCTCAGCTTCCCAAGTCGCTGGGTTAACAGGCACCATCATGCCCAGCAAATTTATGAAAATTTATTTAGGCATGGTGTTTCATGCCTGTAATCCCAGCTACCCCAGAGGTTTAGGCAAGGGGATCCTAACTTAAGAGCAGCCTTTACAATTTAGCAAGACCCAATCTGAAAATTAAAAATAAATAAATAAAAAGGACTGGAGATATAGCTCAGTGGTAGAGTGCCACTGGGTTCAACCCCCTAATACTATTAAAATTTTTTTAAATTACCATAATAAGTAACATAGCAATTGTTTTGTCTCCAGTCTTTTTTATTGTATGTTGTGTCGGTATGCTTAAAAAATAAAAAAATTAACTCACACTGAAGACCATATTCATGTACATTAAGTGTTTCTACATTGAGATAATTTGGGTAACCACATATCAAATTCAGAATAAGACTCGATCCCTGTCTTTGGTGCTTTGGACTCCTAATTCACAGTGGTTTCATTAATAACCACACCATATTTTCTTTCCTTTTAGGAATCCAATACTTTAAGAAATAAGAAAAGCTCTCGCAGAGTCAGCTTTGCAGATACTATAAAGTAAGTTGAAAGAAATAATTCAAATGTTATAGGTAATGCTTTTTTTGTGGGTCAAATTGAAAATGTTAGAATGATTCGGATAATCTATGGTTTTTATTATGTATTAGAGAATGGTTACTTAAAAGATTCTTACTGGCATTATGTTTAAAAGAGAAACATTGAGAAACAATGATATCCACTTTTACTACTGTTATTTAACATATTGAAGGTCCTAACCAAAAATACTAGAGAAAGTAGTTGGGATTTTAAATATTAGAAATATTAGGGTAAACCTATTGCTTTTTGTAGATTAAATGATTTTATATTAGGAAAATCCAAGAATATCAACTGAAAGTTACTATTGATAAGTATCAGGATACAAAATTAATATATGGAAACCAATATCTTTTATTTTATTATTTTACTCTTTTTTTTTTTTTTTTGCCTTGCTAGGGATTGAACCTAAGGCAAGTGCTCTACCACTGAGCTATATCCACAGGCCACTGTAATTCTTATATAGTGTTCTCATTATCATTTTCTTGGTGTTCAACAGTGTATTCATCTTTCCTGTTTGATTCAAAAGAAATCAAAGATGTTCTTTTTATTTTATTTTTTAGGTTTTTTATATTACTGTGGATTGAACCTAAGGCCTCACACATGCTAGGCAAGTGCTGTACCACTGAGAGCTACATTCCCGATTCCCCAAAGTTGTTTAATTTAGAACTGAAAAATTTTTTAGGCATTAGGGGCATTTTGTCATTCAATTTTAGTTTCTTTTATAGGCAGAGAATGTTAATCTGTATTATTTTTATTTCTACAGAAATTCTTTTGAAAGGATTCTCTTTAGAGAATTTCTATAGAAATTCCAGGTGCAATGATGTATGCTTGTAATCCCAGTGACTCAGAAGGCTGAGGATTTCGGGCTTGAGACCAATCCCAGCAACTAAGCAAGACCTTGTCTCAAAATACAGAAGGATTGGGGAGGGGCTGGGGTTGTGGCTCACCATAGAGTGCTCACTTAGCATATACAAGGTTCTGGTTCGACCCTCATCACCACATAAAAATAAATAAATATAAAGGTATTTTTTTTTTTTTTTTTTAAGGGGGTTGGGGATGTAACTCAGTGGTAAAGCTTTCCTGGGTTCATTCCCCAGTACCCATACCCCCACTCCCCAAAATTCTTTTTGTTTTCTTGTATATAATAAATCTTTGTAAACGAGCCATAGGTACTTGAAAAATCAGTATATTTTGTGTTTTCAATGTGCACAGTTTGATATATAAAATTATATTCACATTATAAGTTGTTATTGGGTCCTCTATAATCTTACATAGATTTGATTGCTTTACTCTTGCATGAATTATGAGAGAGGAAGTCAGTCTCATTCTGTATCTCACTCTGCATTTCTAATAGTTTTGTTTGTTTGATTGTACTGGGGCTTGAACCCAGAGGAACTTTACCATTTACCTACATCCCCATCCCTTTTTATTTTTTATTTTTTAGACACAGGGTTTCTCTAAGTTTCTTAGGGCCTCACTGATTGCTGACCTGGAACTTGTAGTCCTCTTGCCTCTACTTCCTAGTCACTGGGATTATTGGCATGCACCACTGCACTACCATACCCAGCTTTAAGGCAAGAGCTGGTGTCAGCTAACTAGTGGAGGTGCTATGTGCTATTTCTGGGAAAGTATTTCCATTGAGAGCCTCTTATATGAATTATTTCAGTCTTAATGTTAGTGTGAACATGGGGTACATGTAGAAATACAAGGAATTTCTTGTGGGGTTTTTAGAAAGTCCTTGAGGTGGTACTTACCTGAGATAGTCTGGATTGAGTTCTTTCCCTTTTGCCAGATTGTTTTGTCTCAGTCTGACAAAAATGATTTCATCTTGGTGTCAGGAACCTTAGAAAACAGTCAAATTTTTCATTTTATAAATGAGATAATTAAAGCCACAGATGTGATTTGATATTCCCAAGATAATATTGGTAGTGTCAGAGCTATGATTAATAATACTGTATAATTTATTTATTGATTCCTGGCTCATTGCTTTTTCTGATGTTTCCATTTGCCTTTGCTAAATGTTGTTAAACCAGTTCCATTCTTTCTTTGGAAATAATCTAGTCACCATACTTTTATAAAATAGCTCTGGGATATTAGAATTCAGACTCAAAACCAGAAAACTTGGAACAAGTTTTGGCTTCCTTACTAAATAACCCCAGTTTCCTTCTTTTTAGGATGGAAGTAATAACCCTTACATATCTCAGTGTTTTTGCATGGCCAAAATAAGATAGTGTATGTTAATACAGAAAGTGTCAAAAGTATTACTAAACGATGTAATTCCCTTCTAATTTAATTGTTAGAATTAACATATATTTCCCATTACCTCAGGAAAGTTTCTTAGAGTACATAAACACTCTGACATGTTGATGAATTTTAGATCCTGAAAGTTGAGTTGTAAAAATTATAGGAGGCTGTCTACTTGAGACTGGGTAATTAATAAAGAGGTTTGCTTTGACTCATAGTTGTCGAAGTCTAAGAGCATAGCATTGGTATCTCCTTCTCTTTTGGTGAGGGTCTCATGGCAGAAGAGACTTCAGGTGTAAGAGACATACAGAAAGTGCCAGTTCACTTCTTAAGAACCTGCTCTGATCATAACTAACCCACTATCAAGGAAACTACATTAATCCCTTTGTGAGGGTGAAGCCCCATGTCTTTCTTATTTTAAAGGTCCTGACATCTCTCAATACCATTACACTGAAGACCAAGCCTTAGCATGAATTTTGGCGAAGATAAACCATACTCAAACCATAGCAGAAGCTGTTGTTTTGGACTAAACATCCTAGACAACTAATAAAACTAAAAATCAAAATGGAATTACTCATATTAAATTTTTATATCGCCAAACTAAAACCAAGTTGTTACCTGACTTTCCAAGAAATCAGGAGAGGCAGAAAGTCCAGTTTCCCAATCAGGCCAGTTTCAGACAGCATAATGATGAAATTCTTTCTGCTTTTATCCTTACCCCTGTCCCCAGGATAACTTGAAGTAGTCTGATATTAACTAAGCAGTTATATTTCTGTGTTCTGTCTTCCTGTCTTAGCCTTGTTATAAGGAAAGTAATTTTGAAATAACTGATCCACTTTTTGTTCTTTGTTTCTGCTTTCTGCAGCCCCTTTCTCTCTACTCTGCCCATTGGAATACTTGTTCTATTTTATGAAATGAAATGTTGCCTGATTATAGAATTGCGAATAAAGCTAATTAAGATCTTTAAATTTGGGCTGGGGATATAGCTCAGTTGGTAGGGTGCTTGCCTCATATGCACAAGGCTCTGGGTTCAATCCCCAGCACCATTAAAAAAAAAAAAATCTTTAAATTTGCCATATATATATATTTTTTAAATTTATTCTTTAGTTTTCAATGGACACAACATCTTTGTTTGTATGTGGTGCTGAGGAACGAACCTTGGCCCCATGCATGCCAGGCAAGCACACTACCGCTTGAGCCACATCCCCAGCCCCTTGCCATATTTTTTGATAAATTGTTTATGTTGATGATGTTGTTTAATATCACATAAATCATTGAAATGAGCTCAATGACAAGGTAATTATTATTATTTTGTGTACTGCAGAGTGTATCCAGGAGTGTTTAACCACTGAGAAAAATCCCCAGCCCTTTTTTGTATTTTATTTAGAGACAGGGTCTCACTGAGTTGCTTTAGGACCTCGCTCAGTTGCTGAGGCTGGCTTTGAACTTGCAGTCCTCCTGTCTCAGCCTCCCAAGCCACTTGGAATATAGGAGTGCTCCACCATGCCTGGAAAGATAATTATTTCTATGAAAATTATATTGAATGTCCAGGGAAATTTTGGTAAAGGTGGATTTATTTTTAAAAATACTTTTGGGTTGGAAGTTAGCTCGGGATAGAGCACTTGCCTAGCACGTACAAGGCCCTGGTTTCAATCCCTAGTACTGGAGGTGAAAAAGATTTCAAATTTGGCATGAATGAGACAACTGTAAAGATAAGGAAGCAATTTATGAAGATAATGTAGAAGAATTTTGTGTTTTCATTATTTTGCAAATTTCTTTCAGTGCATATTCCACCTTATTAATGTACTAAATCTGCATTGGTAGATCTATAGTCAGATGTCAAGTTGATATAAGACATATAAATTAAAATTCATTTATATGTCTTGAACAAAAATTGTATCAAATACAGCTTTGTAAATATGAGCTCAGATGTTGAAGTCATATTTGGGCTTGCATTTTGGGTCTTCCACTTAACAGTTATATGGCTTTAGGAGCTGCTTAAACTTTAAAATCTTTAGTATCTACATCTGTAAAATAAAGTGGTAATCGTTATAAACATTAAAAATGCATGTGAAGGGCAGGAGATATAGCTCAGTGGTAGAGTGCCTGCTGAACATGCATGAGATCCTGGGCTCAATCCCCAATACTGCAAAAAGAAAAAAGCATGTAGAGCTGGAGACGTAGCTCAGTAGCAGAGTGTTTGCCTAGCATGTGTAAAGCCTTACCTAGGTTCAGTTCCTGGTACCATAAAAACAATAACAACAACAAAAAATGCTTATAAAGAACGTGGTGGCACACGCCTATAATCCCAGCGGCTCAGGAGGCTGAGGCAGGAGGATCATGAGCTCAAAGCTAGCCTCAGCAAAAGTGAGATGCTAAGCAGCTCATTTTGACCCTGTCTCTAAATAAAATATAAAATAGGTCTAGGGATGTGGCTTAGGGGTTGAATGTTCCTGAGTTTAATCCCTGGTACCTGTGAAAAAAAAAAAAAAAGAACATAACACAGTGCCTGACATAAAGTCTGTATCCAACCTGTGTATTGCATTTATTTTTAATATTTTTGTTGTTATTGTTGTAGATGGACACATTTTTAATTTATTTTTATGTGGTGTTGAGGATTAAACCTAGTGCCTCACACATGCTAGGCAAGCACTCTACCACTGAGCTACAACTCTAGCCCCTGTGCATTGCATTTTTCTAATTGAAATAAAATTATATTTCTAATTAAGAATAGCTTCTGGACTGGGGATATAGCTCAGTTGGTAGAGTGCTTACCTCACACACACAAAGCCCTGATTTAAATTCCCAGCACCTCCCAAAAAAAAAAAAAAAAGAATAGTTTCTATATAATGAACGATATTTTATATTAGCGGAATTAGCATTAGAATGAACCGGCCAGCTTCTATCAGATAGATATCAAATGTTCCATGAAGGTCATTCTTAATTATGCCAATGTAAAGGTATCCCTTCCTCCTGAGTCTATGCTTCCTTATTAGAACTGTTAACAAAATTCAGCTAAATAATGTTTATAATCATTGTTCTTACTCTCTACCTATGATGGAAGTTATTTGGGGCCAAGGATTAGATCATGTGTTTGTATCCCAGACTGTAGTATAGTGCCAGGCACGTAGTGAGTACTTATTAAATGTTTGTTAAATAAAATGAGTATTTTAGGTTACTGAGAGGGATCAAATAATGATTAGGTGAGAGTTCATTTTTAAAAAACCATAATTTTGCCATACAGTGCTATATGCCTATTATCTCAACAGCTCAGGAGGCTGGAGGATTGCAAGTTAAAATCCAGCCTTAGCAATTTAGTTAACCCCAACCAGCTTAGTGAGACCTTGTCTCAATAAAAATAAAGGACCTGGGGTTATAGCTCAATGGTAGAGCCTTTGCTTGGCACACGTGAGACACTGGGTAAGATCCTCAGCATCACATAAAAAAATAAAGATATTATGTCCATCTTTAAAACAAAACAAAACAAAACAAACTTTTTGAAAAAGAGCTGGGGTTGTAGCTCAGTAGTTAAGTACCCCTGGGTTCAAGTCCTAGTACACACACACAAAAGCATGATTTAATGTTGTAAGCTAATTTTTTTTAATATTTATTTTTTAGTTGGACACAATATCTTTATTTTATTTATTTTTATATGGTGCTGAGGATCGAACCCAGGTCCTCACACATGCTAGGCGAGCTCTCTGTCACTGAGCCACAACCCCAGCCCTCGTAAGCCAATTTTGGCATTTGAAATATTAATAGTATATGGTATAGCAAAGAGAAGTCCAAATCAAAGTATTCTTTATCTTTTTTTCAAAATATTGTTTTTGGGGTGGGTGTATAGCTGTGTGGTAAAATGCTTTTCTACCATTTGTAAAGCCCTGGATCAGTCACAAAAAATATTATCTTTACCTATCTCAAACTATAAATGAATACCAATAGATTCTAATTAAAAATCAAAGATTTTTAGTAATTTTTATTTTCTCTTTTAGGGTCTTCCAAACAGTGTCTCATATGAAAACAGTGAGAAAGTCAGAAATTATAGGTAAATATATTATTGCAGTCTCTGCTAAACGGTTTTCTTTAAAATTTCACTGTGACTATCTAACCAGATAATCAATATAATATATTGTCTTATTGTTTAAAAAATACAGCTCAAATCTGGGAATGGTGGCACCCACCTATAATTCCAGTTGTGAAACTGAAACAGAAGGACTCGGAGTTCACAGTAAAGCTCGGGGAATGTAGCAATACTTTATATTAGCAATACTTTATACTCTGCCTCAAAAAAAAAAAAAAAAAAAGTATAGGGCTGGGGTTGTGGCTCAGTGGTATAATACTCACCTAGCAGGTGTGAGGCCCTGGGTTCAATCCTCAGCACCACATATAAATAAACAAAATAAACATTAAAAAAAAAATTGTGGGCTGGGGATGTGGCTCAAGCGGTAGCGCGCTTGCCTGGCATGCGTGCGGCCCGGGTTCGATCCTCAGCACCACATACAAACAAAGATGTTGTGTCCGCCGAAAACTAAAAAATAAATATTAAAAAAAAATTCTCTCTCTCTCTGTAAAAAAAAAAAAAAAAAAAATTGTACTTTGAGTCATGGGACAGAATATAGGGCAGATGGTAACTTCTTTTTAAATTATTGTTAATATCCTTATGTAAGCTGGGCTTGGTGGTGCACGAAGGCTGAGGCAAGAGGATTGCAAATTCAAAGCCAGCCTCAGCTACTTAGTGAGGCCCCGAGCCACTCAGCAAGACCCTGTCTCTAAATAAAATATATGTTGTTTGGTGGTTAAGCGCCCCTTGGTTTAATTCCTGATACCAAAAAAAATCCTTATGTAAGTTTTCTAATGTTTTATTGGCATATCCTTGGACAACTTTAATTTTTATTTTATTTTTAGAAACAGAAGTAAGAGAAAATGTTCTATGTATTCAGTAAGTAAGACATTTATGATTACATTTAAAAAGTTGTTTATTTCTATTAAATGAAGTCTCTTAATATTCTTTTGCTTTTTATTTTTTATCCCTTTTGTGGAATACTCAAGGTTAATTAAAAAATAAAATACTTTGCAGAATTTAATATATGCATTGCTGTATCTGATAAAGATGTTTGGTGTACAACTTAGTTTTAATATAGTGATGAAACACTATACTTTTATATATATAAACCCTTAATTTAATTAGCTAGTACAAACATTAAATAATAAGTCTTAGATTTTTTTTCATTAAGTTAGTCTTTCTTGTTGTGGTAGGAATACAAGTTGAGTATGTGTTGTCCAAAATGCTTGGGGCCATAAGTATTTCAGATTTGGGGATATTTGCATAGAGTTTGCTGGTTGAGTATCCGCAATTTAAAAATCTGAAATGCTCCAAAATTTAATTTGGCACAAATGAAAAGATGCTTATTTACTTATAAGACACATACAAATAAAGACTGTATTGAAATATTTCTTTTTTTTCAAATTAGTTAAGGGTGTAGGTTAAAAAAAAAACTCATTGCTAGTGAGAGTATAAATTATAAAGGCAATTTGTTAATATCAATCAAAATTTTAAGTGCACATGCCATTTTCTCGGTAATTTCGTGTCTGGAAATTTATGTCATCAATATAGTTATAAATATTTAAAATGAGGAATAAATAGGGTTATATACTGCAGCATTTATTGTAACAACAAAAGATGAGAAAGATCCTAAAGATCCATCAGTAAGGAATGTTTAAATAAACTGCACATTTTCCATATAATTGATTAATGTGGCCAAGCATGGTGGTGCAAGTAATTCCAGCAGCTGGTGTAATTCCAGCAGCTCTGAAGCTAAGGCAAGAAGACTGCAGTTCAAGGCCAGCCTCAGCAACTTAGGGAGACCCTGTCTCAAAATAACATAAAAGGGCTGGAGACATGGTTCAGTGATAGAGGGCCTCTAGGTTCAATTCCAAGCATACACCCGCCTCCCACAAACTGATTATTGTGCAGGTAGAGAAAAGAAGATTGTATAGTAAATAGAAAAATATCCAAGTCCTATTATTCAAGAGAGAAAACAACATACAAAACAGTACATTGTATATCACCACTTGTATAAAAGAGGGATGAAGAAAAGCTTGTATGTGTATATATTAATTCATGTGTGCACATATATACAATGAACATGTATTATTTACACATTCATAAAATGTCTCTGGAAGAAACTCCTAAGATTGTTTGCCTAGAGAGAAGAAAACCTTGTCAGAGAATTCATACTGGTTTTATAATTTATTAACTTTTAAAATTGTTAAAGAAATGGAAGTAATAATATTCACAGTTTCAAAAGGTACAAAAGAGCAAAAAGTGTAAAGTAAAATTTATTCTTATCTTTTGCTGATCTACTCCCCACAGATAACTACTGTTATTATTTTGTGTGTCCTTGGAGAAATTTTCTATATTATTTCAAAGTACATGTTTATTTTTAGCTTTTTAAAAGACAAAAATGGAACCACTTAATAGTTTGTTATTTCCATTTTGTTGCATAAAAATCTAAAAGTTTTCTAAGTCTCACCAGGGCAGCATGCAATTCATTTTGGGAAGGGAAGGAATTTCTCCTGCATCAGGAATAAAAATTTGTGATGCAAATTTGAAAAAAGAAAGAAAAATTCAGTGTATTATAATCCATTGTGTGCCTGAACCAACATTTAGTCAGCTTCATATTGGCAAACTCTTGGGTTGTTTCCTTTTATTAATTTATTTTTAAGGCTAAAGTTTTAGAAAATGAATTGCTTTACAGATCATTCTGTATTTTTAAATAAGCAAGCAGTATGTATTAAGCATATTTTAATAGTATTCTTGATTCAACAAACCATTAAGACCATTTACCAAACCATTAAGTCCTTTAACTATCTTGTAATTTTTTCAGCCGCTATTAGATAAGTCATTTTTTAAAGGATCTGTAATTTTCTGCTAGTCACCCTATGAAAACCCTTCACCTTGCCTAATCTTTTAACTGTTTGGATTCTTGGTAATTGTTTGGGGAATAGATTACAAAAATGCCTTTTGATTTTTAGGAATAAGAATTCAGAAGATAATTATTGTGAGATTGCTGGTGAGTATGACCAGAATACTTTTCTTGTAATTTACCTTTCTCTTAATCCAAATTTCTTGGTAAGTAATATCTACAAGAAACATGGAAAAAAATATAAGGAGAACTTTGTTCTTTTCACAGATTTTTAATTTAAAATTTCATAAATATGCTATGATTTCTCTCAAACATGCTATTCCTCCTGTTTTTCCTTTCCTGAACTCCTGTTCACTCAGCCATTCACTGAAGTTAGGAATCATTCTGAACTCTTCCTTCATTTCCCATATTCAGTAGAGTCCCTACTTTCTGTAAGTTCTGCCTCCTAAGTATCTTGCCAATCTGGCACCTTTTCTCTTATTTTTCTGCCATTCCTTTAATTTAAGTCTTTGTTATTTTCTATAACATTATATTTATTATATTTAATATTATATTTAACCACCTTCCTGCCCTGCAAGGGGGTGGCCCCATTCCCATGACATGGCATTGAACCCAGGAGCATTTTACCTCTGAGCTACATACCCACCCCAGCCCTTTTTTTTTTTTTTTTTTTTTGGTAGATGGACACAATACATTTATTTTGTTTATTTAGTTTTTTTATGTGGTGCTGGAGATCAAACCCAATGCCTCATGCATGCTAGCTGCATGCAAGTGCTCTATCACTGAGCCACAACCCCAGCCCTCTCTAGCCCTTTATAAAATTTATTTTGAGATAGGGTCTTGCTAAATTGCCCAAGCTGACCTTGAACTTTTGATCCTCTTGCTTCAGCCTCCCACATAGCTGTAATTATAGGCATGTGTAATTATAGGCATCTCCATATTTCTAAATATTATTAAGTTAACTTACAGCTTAAAACAGTTCAGTGATAACTTTTTTACTTACAAGATAAAACCCACATCCTTAGCCCTGACTTAGAAAGTCCTTTTTTGTTTGTTTGTTTGTGGTGTTGAGAATTGAACCCAGAGCCTTGAAACAAGCACTCTACCAACTGAGCTATATCCCCAGCCCTTAGAAAGTCCTTTATAATTTGTCTTGTCTTGTCTTTTCCAACCTTATGTCCTCCCTTTGTAGGTAACTTGTGCTCTAGCCCATTGATGGATTATTTGCAGTTCCTTATATGGACTTTTTTTCCGTCCCCTATGCACTTAAAAAATGCTGTTTCCTCTATCTAAGTGTTATTCCTACTCTGATTTACCTATCAGTCTTCTTAATTTTTCACTTAGCTTTTCACGTAGCTTAACCTCAGTGATATTCAAAGTAGCCAGTCTACAAATTGCCTACAACAGAAAAGGAATTTGTACCACAATGTAAATTATATGTGGTATTAAGTCACTGTTTAGTTCAGCTATACATTTTTTTCTTAGTAAGGCTTTTTTTGTACCAGGGATTGACCCAGCGTTGCTTAACCACTGAGCCACATCCCCAGTCCTTTTTATTTTTTTATTTTGAGATAAGGTCTCCCTAAGTTGTTTAGGGCTTCACTAGTTGCTGAGATTGGCTTTGAACTTGGGATCCTCCTGCCTCAACCTCCTGAACTGGGTTTACAGGCATGGGCCACTGTGTCTAGCTGTAGGACCTTCTTGATGAAGGAGTTCTAATATGACTTGCATTTGCAGTAAGCTCCTTATCTCATCATGAATTGGTAATAAGCAGTTCATAGACTGGCACCATATTTCCAGTAGTACTGGCTCAAATCAAGCCTTTTTTAACAAAATCATGGCGTGAGCCACTAAGTTCTCTGCTTTTATTTTTCAGTCCTTTTTAGAATTTATCACATTGTATTTTAGGTATTTATCGTGGATTTTCAGATATTAAACTACTAGCTCTTTGGGCTGGGATTGTAGCTCAGTGGTAGAGCACTTACCTAGCATGTGTGAGGCACTGGGTTCAATTCTCAACACTACATATAAATAAATAAAAAATATAAAGGTCCATCAATAACTAAAAACATACTTAGGAAAAAAAACAAAAACTACTAGCTCTTCAAGTATAGACATTTTTTCTTGTTCTCCTTTGTGCCTTACAGATAATTGAGAGTTTTTTTGCACATGGTAGGTCTAAATCAATAATTGTTGAATAAATGAATGGAGTCCTGATAGAAATAAGGCTTTTACTAAAAAGCCTATAATTACTTCATCCTATGCACTAAAGGTTTCCATAAACATACATGAGGCATAAATGTATTTTTTAGTGTAGTATAACATCTTCTTCAGTATTTATTTCCAGAGTCCAGTTTGATACCTAAATCTTTATATTTCAATTCTAAATGTCTTGAGTCTAATTTTTCTTTCCCATTTTCACTTTTACCCTAACATAAACACTTACTTGTTATATCTGAATTATTTGCAGTAGTTTTCTCAGTGATTCATTTTCTCTTGACTCTTCCTTATTTTTTTGTTACTTTTCTAAAATGTATATTTTATAAAATGTGTTGTATTTTATAATAAATTTCTTTTACCAAATGGATATCTGTCATGAGAACATTTCAATGCCTTAACATTGAATAAAAGACCCTTCAAATCTTACCCTTTCTCAGTAATCTGTTTCTTTTAACAGAGAAGTGAAAAAGTAAGTAATAGTTTTAAGTTTTCCACCTTTTAGTAAAGTCATCACCACATTCTAAAAAATTTTGTTCAAAGAATACAATAATTCTGTATTTGTCAAAAAAGAAAACAATTAGGAGCCACAAGTGTAACTCAATAATAGAGCACTTGCCTAGCATATATGAAACCTTCAGTTTATAGCACTGCCATAAAAAAAGCCAAAAGTTATAATGAAATTTAATTTATAAGTCTTTATGAAGAGCTTATAACTGATAAATACTTGTCACTAATGAAGGAGCTAAGAAAAGGAAAATATGTCTGCTGTTAATAATATATTTTTTCTGACTATAATGTTTTCTTTTTTCTCAATAGGAATGAACACCTTGCTTTGTGCTCCCATTCAGATCCAGATGCAACAAAGAGAGGTAGGAATTCATCCAAGTAATGTCATATTTTAATCTCCATAGTTAAAACATACACACAAACAAATAATGGTAATGGAATGATTGAGGGATGACTTAACAAGATGAAAATATAGACTGGGAAAACTTCCCATCTTGGCATTAATAAAAATAGTTAAATCATTGCCTTTTTTTTTTTTTTTTTTTTTTTGATACGAGGGATTGAACCCAGGGGCACTGAGCCACATCCCCAGCCCTTTATTATTTTGAAACAGGGTCTCACTGAGTTGCTTATGTCCTCCTTAAGTTGCTGAGGCTAGCTTTAAACTGTCTCAGAGTTGCTGGGATTACAGGTGTGAGCCAATTTTCAGTCATTTTAAAGGTTGTGTAATTAACCTTAAAAAAAAATTTGGGGGGTGGGGTACTAGGTATTTCATCCAGGTACTAGGTAGTTAACCACCCAATGTCACTTTCCCACTATGTTACATCCCCATTCCCCTTTTTTTTAAAAATTTTTTTGTTTTGAGACAATCTTGCTAAGTTATTTAGGGCCTTGCTAAATTGCTGAGGCTGGCCTCAAACTTGAAATCCTCCTCCCTCAGCCTCCTGAGTCACCAGGATTATAGGTGTGTGCCACTTTGCCCAGCTAACTTTGAATTTTTAATTTTCTGAAACACTAAAATGTAAATTATTCAGATTTTAGAAAAAAAATTAATAGCAAATGTTGTGCAACATACTACACCATTGATAAGTACACCAGTGTCATGAAACCATCATTGAGAATTGTTTATATAGAATATGTTATAAATTACTTTTATAAAAATTTATTTTGGTTTGGTCTTATTTTTTTTTTTTTTATAGTTTCCATTTACAGAACACAACCATGAAAGGAAACATGCAGGTGACCAGACAGTCATCTTTTCAGATGAAAACCAGATGGACCTTACAGCAAGTCATACTGTGATGATTTCCAAAGGCCTTTTAGATCGTACCAAAAGTGAAAAGTCCACCAAGATAGAAACCAGATCCTTTCTGACAAACTTAAAGCACAATGCTGAGGATTCAAGAATAAAAAATGAAAAATTATCAATGGATCAAAACACTTCTTCAGAAAAAAAAAAAAATTCCAGTGATTTTATAAAAAGATTGAAAAGAGGAAAATATAGTGCTTCTCCTTCTACAGGGCCTGATAAAGAAAATTCTGAGATACTTATTTATTCCAAAGAATCAAATACTGCCTATTCTACACATCAAATGCAAGTAGCTTTTAATGTTGATGAAAATAGTAATAATATGACTAGAATATTCCAAGAACAAGATGAGGGTATGAATTTTACCCAGTGTCATACAGCGAATATTGAGACTCTGGTTCCCACCACTGGTGAGGCCAACTTAAGGGAATTTGAAGGTGATATTACAATTTATCGTGATGACTGTATGGACTTGACAGTTAATCGCACTGTACAGATTTTACCCTCAGCAGATAATTTGTCTGAAAAAGAAAATCAAACTCAGAATGTCAAGCTGGATGTTAAAACAGTTTGTGAAACTAAAGTTCCAGGAAAGGAAGCATTCTTTCAAAATAAAATTAATGCTATTGTTCAAGACTCTTCCTTAAACCCTCAAGACAAAATACATATTACCAGAAGTCATATCATAGAGTCAGAAACTCAAACAGTCACACAGACTTCTAATCAAGATACCAGAACATTGACAGCGACTCCGGACTCTATATGTTATACTCCAGATATTCAAGGTTATAAGACAGTTTTTTATTCTAGTTGTAATGATGCCATGGAACTAACCAAGTGTCTGTCAAGTTTGAGAGAGGAGGAAAATTTGCTGAAGCATGATGGTAATTCTAAAATGTGTCCCAGTGCAGATGGTATCCCTTTTCTCATAGAGAAAACTATTTATTTAGGAGAAGATAGCATGGACATTACCAAGAGTCACACAGTTGCAATAGATAATCAGATTTTTAAACAAGAGGAGTCAGATGTTCAGGTAGCAGCTGCATCAATATCTGACAAAAAAATGATGCTCCAAAATCCGATAATTGTGTCAGAAGATGAGAAAATGAATTTAAGTTGTAGCTCAGTTGCTCATATGTTTAAGGAAAGATTACAACAGAGCTCAAAAGAGCCTGTATCTATTTCATTAACTGACAAAAAGACTGAACTTTTAGCAGGTAAAGTTGTGGATTTGACTGAAAGTCACACAAGTAATTTAGGAAGTCATGCTTCTCTTGCATCTTATACTCTAATAACAAACAATACTAGTAAATCTCATTCTCAAAGTAAAAGCCCTTTGGATGAATGGGAAAAAAAGATAAAAAATATTACACCATCCCCACAACCAAACATATCTAAAAACATCGTAACTGACATCCAGAGCAAAGAAAAACATCGAAGTGTGAACTTTTTGCCCCATCTTAATAAAGATCCTCTTCTATCAACTGATTATAATCAGAACACAGCAATAAACCATAATATAGTCTACTCTGGTGCAGTTCTTGATAAACAAGTACTATTAGGAAATAACAGACATACAGTTTTAAGTGAGCAATCTTTGTTTTCTACCTCAAAGCCATTATTTGCAAGAGAAGAACAATCTGTTGTGAAAAATTATGATATTTCTGAGAATAGTCATCTAGTGAATTCTATACTAGGCCAGAATTCTAAACTTCCTGAGTCACCGAAGAAAAATTTAGATGATTCCACACCTAACTGTTCTCATGAGAAGATGACTATTTGTTCAGAAGAGGACCAAACTATGGATCTAACCAAGAGCCACACTGTTGTCACTGGATTTGGCCCTTCTGAAGTACAAGAACTTAGTGAGACTAATTTAAAATACAGAGCCAGCCGGCTCACAACAGTAAACAGACAAGTTGCTACAGAAGTTGAAAAATGTGATAAAAGTCCTGTAGAAAAAACTGGTTTATTTATATCTAACAAGAGGAATGTATTAGATGACAAAGCTGTACAAAATCCTGAATTTCTGATGGAAAAGCAAAATGTCAATATTCATGAAAGGAAAAGTTTTGGTGGACTAAAAATTGATAAGACTATTGTATTTTCAGAGGATGACGAGAATGATATGGATATTACCAAGAGTTACACAGTAGAATTAAACCATAGACCTTTATTAGACAAAAATGACTCCCATTTGGCAGGAACTTCTAAAACTATTTTGTATGCTTGTGGCCAGGATGACATGGAAATCACTGGAAGTCACACAACTGTCTTAGGATGTAAAACTCACTTAGCAAGTGAAAAAACTAGTGGGCCAGTGGATAAAACTGTAATGTTTGTAGATTATCATGATGAACTAGAAATGACAAAATCTCACACTGTTTTCATTGACTACCAAGCACAGGAGAGAACTGGACTTCCAGACACATCTACCTTTGAATTAGCTAAAAGGAAAAGCCTACAAAAATCAGAAGTGGCATCTTCTGGTGAAGAAGACAAGGTTTTCTTTTTGGAAAACAATGAAAGTGATAATCCAACAGCAAAAGGCAGTCAGCTAACAGGACTGAAGAAATGGTCTAATGTTGGTCCTATAGAGAAAGGTGTAGCAGTTAAAGCTGATGATAGCATGGAAGTATCTAAATTAACCACTCGAGAAAATATCAACAATGTGGAAAAGGCTGGATTTGTGAATGAATATTTATCAGGTAAAAGTCAGAGAAGAAAAAGCCTTACACTAAAAAATGACAAGACCATTGCATTTTCAGAAAATGATAAAAATGACGTGAATATTACCCAGAGTTGCATGGTGGAAAAGAGTAATAAAAGTGCTCTGGAAGACAAAGAAGACTTTAATTTGGTGCCTTTGACAGGAACATCTAAAATTATTTTGTATTCATGTGGGCATGATGACATGGAGATCACTGCAAGTCACCCAACGGTCTCAGATTGTAAAACTGTCTTACCCGATGAAATTACTAGGCCTGTGGACAAAACTGTAATGTTTGTAGATAATTATAATGACCTAGAAGTCACCAAGTCCCATACTGTTTTCATTGATTGTCAGGCCACAGAGAAAATGCTTCAAGAGTACCCTAAATTTGGAATTCCTAAGGATGATAATTATGTTCAAGAAACCACTAATAAACAAGTGTTAGCTATAGAAAACAAAATTGTTCTTCACCCTAAGCAAAAAAAATATCATACGATACCCCTTAATCCTACTAGTACATTTTCTGGGAATCATAGTGAAATGGAAATCAAATTCTGTAGAGCAGCTATGGATGAGGAGGTCATGGAGAACGTTGTAGATCAGGCCTGTACTTTGGAAAAGGCGGAAATTGAAAGCTGTCACTTAAATAGTACAGACAGAAGAAATGTGGATTTTATAAGTAGTCCTATAGCTGCTATTTGTGGGTCCCTCGATAAGTCTGCCTGTTTACCTAATGATATTTCCTCTAATATTACATTCTTACTCAATAAAGAGAAAGCCAACAATTGCCCAGTGCAAAATGATCTTGCTTATGCAGATGATTTAGCCAGTAAATATTACTTGGACTCTAAGGGACTGCCTTTCTCTGCTTCTTTGCTAGAGAAGAAAGAAGCTATTTGGACTGATTCCAGAGGACAGTTAAACTGTTCCATGACCCTGCTGAAAGATGAAGATCTGATCAAGAAGCCTCAAAATCTATCAGCTAATCAAACTTTAGTATATAGTCAAAATCTGGGGGAAATAACTAAACTTAATTCAAAGCGTGTATCTTTTAAGCTTCCAAAGGATCAAATAGAGGCCTTTGTTGATGATATCTGTGATGCTTCTCAGCCTCATCTCTCAACCCAGCAACTTCCATTAACTCAAAACAGACAGAATGTTATTTGTAAATCTGAAGCAATACTGTCTAAAAGTGGAAATAAGAGCTTAAATTTTATTATAGAAAATTCTTCACCCACATATGAAAATGAGTCTAAAATACTCAGTAATGAGAAACAGTTTGCTATAGCCTGTAAAAAAGAAATACAAGAAAATAATCAAACAGCAAAATGTAATACAGCTGTAGATTTTCACAGTAACTCAAACTCAGCTACACAAATCATTCAGACTCATACCAATGCTAGAAATGCATCAGATCATATAATTACTTCTAATGTTCCATGTATTAGTAGTATCAAACCAAATATGAATAATTTAAATGGAAAAACTGAAGAGTTTTTAGATTCTCAAACTGTTCCTACACTACCTCCTCAAGAAGAATTACTTGAATTAGGAGGTAAGGCACATGATAATGTGAGTGTAGTGCAACCTACAGAAATACATAATATTAACATTGTCTCTATCAATGCTAAAGATAATGGGGATGAAGAAAATAAAAATTTTCAAAATGGAGCTGACACTACCTCTGTACCATTGAAGACAGTTGTTAAAGATAAAATGAGGAGGTGTTCTTTGGGAATCTTTTTGCCTAGATTGCCAAATAAGAGAAATTGTAGTGTCACTGGTATTGATGACCTGGAGCAGATTCCAGCAGACACAACTGATATAAATCACTTAGAAATTCAGCAAGTCTCCAGAAAAGATTCAGACATTGGATCTGTTGCAGCTAACCTGAACTTAAGTCCATCTGAATATATAAATGAGGAAAATCTCCCTATATGTCCTGGTGAGATTAATTTCTCAGACACTATTAGCATAGAAATTGAGGAAAAGTCTTTGATTGAGACATACCAAAAGGAGATTTTACCATCTGAAAATAAAATGGAAGAAACCTGCAATAATCAAAAAAGAACCTGGGTGCAAGAAGATAATGATGTGCAGAAGGAGAAAAAAATCATAAAATATGATATTAAGCTTAGTGGTACTACTCAAGATCAGGAGGTAAGCTCTGTCTTGAACTGAGGAATGTCAGTAAGACTTGGATTTCCTTTTTTAAGCTTGTGGGTGTTCTTGGGTTTTAATTTTAGTCTTAAAATGTATTTAGTTATAGGTCTGGAAAAATGTTCTTATATAAAATCTTCAAGATTAACTGTCAGCTAGACTTTAACATAATTTATAGTGACAAATAGCACAAAATATGAAAGTAGTAAAATGAACCAATGTTGAAACTGTATAATTAAGAATTTTGTTACCGCTGGTATTTTATCAGTGTTGTTTTGTATGTGAGAATCTCTTAGGAGCACAAATATAATTTGAAAAGTCTTCAGTGTTATAAATATTTGGGGAGTAAAAAGCATTTCTATTTAAACTGTGAAAAGAAAAGGGTGACTGAATTTTCTTGGATAATGAAGATATGTAGAAGCTGAGAGTCCATTTCTTTAATGGGTAGGAGAATGCCCAGGTCAAACTTTTAAGTTGAGAAACATTGATTTGGATAATTAGAGGGAACAAAACCTATCACTCAAATCTAGTTTTATAGGTGGGGAAAAGATTTAAAAGCTTAAACTATTGGGCTGGGGTTGTAGTTCAGTGGTTCGATCCTCAGCACCACATTAAAAAAATAAATAAATAAAAATAAAGATATTGTGTCCATCTACAACTAATGAAAGTTTACATGCTAATATTTAGGCAAGGAATATATTGTCTTCAAAAAAACATGTAAGTAAGTAGGTATAGATGATACTGTGAAGTCAAATGATGAAAAAGCAGGACCAAATAATTTATTTGATGTTAGTCAAGGGTAGGTCTTATTAGATTAGATGAGAAGGAAAGTACTAAGTTTTCTGTATCCTAGCTAGTGCCATAGGCATAGTCAATATTCCAGTCTGGTATTCTGCAATGATATAGCCAGGTTATTTGTGGCTAGTAGTTGAATAATTGGATAGGTTGACATTTAGTAGCTTTTAGGTTAAGTAGTGGTTTTAGTGTTCATCACTTAATCATTATAAGTATAATGTCATAACTATTCTGATGATGTTTCTTAATTCATAATTTCAGATTTTTGATCATCATAATGAAGGGGATATAGATAAAAATGTTAACAGTGTATTGATAAAAAGCCTAAGCAGGACCCCATCTAGTTGCAGCAGCTCTCTGGATTCAATCAAGGCTGATGGCACCTCCCTGGATTTCAGTAGTAAGATCTTTATGAAGGCTAAATTAATAACAGTCAAATGCATCCTGGACTAATTATAAATCTATTTCATTTAGGAAATATTTGAATGTTGCATATGTCTTTTCAGCATTATAAAGTTTATAAAGTGTAAAAGTAAAATAGTATTTAGTTTATTTTTAATTCTTAGTTATTTTAGTGAATCGAGAATTGCTATGCTATAGAGGAATAGAGTTTTCCTTCAGAGGCTTATAACTATCAGGGAAACAGTGAATGAAGCCTTAAAACTATAACATATTTGCCATGCTAAATGACTGCCTTCCTAGAAACATCACAGTGGATGGCTTCAAGATCATGAAAACAAATCTGAAAGATAACAAAAATAAGTTCACAATTTAGATTTGACCTGCTTATCACACGAAGCTGCTTTACTTCTAGCATACCGCAGTAATCAAATGGAATCACGGTTTCTCCAAGACACTATTTGTGAAGAGAGCTTGAGAGAGGTATGTTAAAAATATTTCTCATTTGTAATGTACTGATTTTCTTGTCTTTTTAAAAAAATTCTAAGATTTCAAATATACAGAAGACTTGTTTTCTTTGTTCTGGTCTCAACATGGCAGTTAATTACATGCAATATTTTTAGTCTACTTTTTGCTGCTATAATTGAATACTACAGGCTGGATAGTTTATTTTTCATTTTATTATATTTTTTTGTGCTCAGGCATACTCCCACTGAGCTACATCCCCAACCCAAGACTGGGTAATTTATAAAGAGGTTTGTTTAGCTCATGATTCTGTAAGCCTGGAAAAGCATGACCCTGGTATCAGCTCAGCATCTAGTGAAGAAGGCCTTCTTGCTAGTGGGGACTCTGAAGAGTCCTAAGGTGGTTCAGGACATTACATGGCGAGACAGAGCAAGCTCACTAATGTGTTCCTTTTTTCCTCTTATTAAGCTACTAATGCACTCATGGAGGCCACAGCCTCATGACTTTATCTAATCCTTATTACTTCTCAACTGCTTCATTTCGAAATATCATTAGTATATAACTTAGAGAATTAAGTTTCACTGTCAGTTTTGGAGGGGAAAAACACACAGACAATAGCAAGTAGAAATGAAGATTCAATACATATGTTTTGGTTTCTGTAAATTCTATTCTTGAAGGTTATTCAATAAGAATCTTAGATAATCGAAGATATCTGCTTGTGGATAGCCTGCTTAATATGGATAATTTCATGAATATTTTCAAAGTAGAATCAAATGAGGTGATCTTACAAATTTTTTTCTTTTCTCAGAAACTCAAAGATGGAAGAATAACAATAAGGGAGTTTTTTATACTTCTTCAGGTCCACATCTTAATACAAAAACCCCGGCAGAGCAATCTCCCAGCCAAAGTAAGTACAATTTCCTGGCAAAATAATTGTATCATTTAAAAAATAAATAAGGGCTGGGGATGTGGCTCAAGCGATAGCGCGCTCGTCTGGCATGCGTGCGGCCCGGGTTCGACCCTCAGCACCACATACTAACAAAGATGTTGTGTCTGCCGGAAAAATAAAATAAATAAATATTTTTAAAAAAATAAAATAAAATAAAAATAAAAATTAAAAATAAATAAATAAATTATATATATATATATATATATATATATATATATATAAAGAAAAAAATATATTTTTTTCTTTTTTTACTAAACTGCATAAAAGCAAGTATTTACTGAAAAGAAAAAAAAAGGAAGCATTAATTTTATTCTGTTTTAAAGAAAGTTTTTCTAAATCAAGTGTGGAGGTGCACGCCTGTAATCCCAGTGGCTTGGGAGGCTGAGACAGGAGGATCACGAGTTCAAAGCCAACCTCAGCAATGGTGAGGGGCTAAGCAACTCAGTAAAACCCTGTCTCTAAATAAAATATAAAATAGGGCTGGGGATGTGGCCCCAAGTCTGGCAAACATTTACAAAATCAGTGTATCCTTAGCCACAAAGAAATTTAACAAATTGAAAACAGTGGAGGTTTTATAGACCACAGTGTTGGATCTTAACCCATTAAAATTAGAATAAAAGGACTAAAATATTCTCAGCTTCTTAGAAGTTAAGAAACACATTACTGGTGTACACTTGTAATCTCCCAGTGACTAATTGAGGCAAAAGGACCGCAAGTTCGAAGTCAGCCTCAGCAACTTAGTGAGACCCTATCTCAAAATGAAAAATAGAAAGGGCTCATAAAGTACTCCTGGGTTCAATCCCCAATACCAAAAAAAAAGTGGGGAGGGCGGGGGAAGAAAGGAAAGAAACACACTTAGATTGGGGGTGTATCCCAGTGGTAGAGTACTTGCATGGCATACACAAGGCCCTGAGTTTGATACCTAGCACTGCAAATAATGAAACACTCTTTGATCAAAGAAGAAATAAAAACTGTTTAGAAAGCAAATAACAGAGAATATCTAATGCCAAATCTATTGGACATAAAGCATAACTTAGCAGGAAATTAAAAACTTGGCTGTCTGTTATAGAAAAGAGTCTAAAAATAAAGATTTTTTGTTGTTTTGGGGTTTTGGGGGGGTACTAGAGATTGACCACTTTACCACTTAGGTACATCCTAAGCCCTTTTTATTTATTTATTTATTTTTTCAAAGGATATAGACATAAAATGTTGTTATCTTTCCATAAAGATTTCAGGGGCTGGGATTGTGGCTCAGTGGTGGAGTGCTCACCTGGCATATACGGGGCGCTGGGTTCGATCCTCAGCACCACATAAATGTAAAATAAAGATATTGTGTCTACCTAAAACTTAAAAATAAATAAGTAAAGATGGCATTTCGCATTACCAGCAATATATGAGGCCATTTCCCATAGCATCACTAATAGATCATGAAGCTTTTGAATTTTTACCAATCTGATAAATAAGAAATGGTGTCTCAACAGCTTTAATTTGCATTCTGCTTACTACAAGTGAATTTAAACATCTTTTAGGGACCAATTTTTTTGTGATTTTTGATTATTTCTGGTGGGGATTTCTGCTCCCCGTGCAATTTTTTTAATTCTAGTTATACATGATAGTAGAATGAATTTTGACACATCATATATAAATGGAGTATATAACTTCTCATTTGTCTGGTTGTACATGATTCAGAGTTACACAGGTCATGTAATCATGTATGCACATAGGGTAATAATATCTGATTCATTCTACTATCATTCCTACCCCTATGCCCTGCCTCCCTTTACTTCCCTCTGTCTAGTCCAAAATACCTCTATTCCTCCCAACCCCCCACACATATCTTATTGTGAATTAGCACCTGCATATCAGAAAAAACATTTGGCCTTTGGTTCTTTGAGACTGGCTTATTTCATTTAGCTTAATATTCTCCAGTTCCATCCATTTACCAACAAAAGCCATAATTTCATTCTTCTTTAAGGCTGAGTAATATTCCTTTATATATACTACAGTTTTCTTTATCCATTCATCTGTTGAAGGACACCTAGGTTGGTTCCATAGTTTAGCGATTGTGAATTGAGCTGCTATAAATATTGGGGTGGCTGCATCATTGCAGTATGCTGATTTTTAAGTCCTTTGAGTGTAAACTTTGAACACTGTCCAAGAACAATGGGAATCAAAAAGAGTAGGATGACTAGGTCAAATGGTTGTTCCATTCCAAGTTTTCTCAGAAATATCCACACTGCTTTCCATAATAGTTGCACCAGTTTGCAATCCCATCAGCAATATATGAGCATACCTTTTCCCCCACATCCTCACCAACATTTATTGTTGCTTGTGTTCTTAATGATTGCCATTCTGACTCTCGAGTGAGATGGAATCTCAGTGTAGTTTTGATTTGCATTTCTTTAATTGCTGGAGACGGTGCAGCCCATTTTATTTTTTTCAAGTAGCCGAAGTTCTTGTTAAATTGCCTAGTTTGGCCTTGAACTTGTAATCTTCCTTGCCTCAGCCACCCAAGTCACTGGAATTACAGTTGTGCACCTCTGTGCCTGGAAAAAGAAATTTTTAATACTCAGTTTAAGAAATTAGAAAATGAACAAGTGGGGCACAGTGATGCAGGCTTATAATCCCAGCAGCTCAGGATGCTAAGGCAGGAGGATTGCGAGTTCAAAGCCAGTCTCAGCGAAAGCGAGGAGCTGAGCAACTCAGTGAGACCCTGTCTCTAAATAAAATACAAAATAGGGCTGGGGATGTGACTCAGGTTAAGTGCCCCTGAGTTACACCTCTAGTAAACACCCCCCCCACACACTCATATAGGCATTCTGAAATTCAAATTATTTCTCACACATGGTTTTGTTATGGTGAGATCTCAATAAGTCACCAAGTTGATCTTTTTTTTTTAGTTGTATATGTACAGAATACCATTATTTTGGTTATTTATTTTTATGTGGTGCTGAGGATCGAACCCAGTTTTTCACACATGCAAGGCAAGCACTGAGCCACAACCGCAGCCCCCACCAAGTTCATCTTAAAGCAGGAGATGAAACATTTATTCACCAGCTGGTGGGCCAAGGGGCAGACTGTAAGTCTACACCCTTTGGGGCTGGGGATGTGGCTCAAGCGGTAGCGCGCTCGCCTGGCATGCGTGCGGCCCGGGTTCGACCCTCAGCACCACATACTAACAAAGATGTTGTGTCTGCCGGAAAAATAAAATAAAAAAATAAAAAAAAATTAAAAAAAAAAAGTCTACACCCTTTGACCCCCTCAGGGGTTTGAGTACACCTAAGTAAAGCATGTCAATACATTAATCATATGTGGCTATTGCTATGATTCAAGACCATAAACAAACATGAGATCTAAAATCATAAACAGAAGGGGAAGTGGGTCAAAAGGACCCTAGTTGATTACAAGTTAAAGAATGGTTACTAACATCTAGACAATCATTCTCTGACATGGAACACTATCCAAGAACAATGGGAATCAAAAAGAGAACAATTTACACTATATAAGAATTGCCATTTTGTGTTGCCAAATATGCTGTGCTAACCAACTGTTGATAGGTACAGAGGTGGGATGTTCACATGGAAGAAGCATTTCTTACATGACATGGAGTCTCAGGGTAAAATGGAATCTGTTTGGTCATTGCCCATATAGCCTGGCCCATAACAGTTTGATCCTCAGGATACCAGTTCTGAGGAAGTGATTTATTTATTTATTTTTTTCCAGTTTACTACAAACACATCGCCTACTCCAGAAGATCTGATATTAAGACAGTATGTTTATGGACCCAAGATACAGATTTATAGAGAGGATTGTGAAATTCTTCGCCAAAAGATAGAAGAGTAAGAAAGTTTTAATTTTTTTCTACGTGGGTTTTGTCTTTGTTTAACAAGCAAGTAGTATATGTGGCAAGGTTTTGATTAGAATAACAGTGGCATGGAAAAAAATGAATGGCATTAACATGGGTACAGAAGTTTGGCTTTGACCTAAAACACAATTCAGTCCTGGCCAGACATGGTGGTGCATGCCTGTAATCCAAGCAGTTTGGGAGGCTGAGACAGGAGATTTGCCAGTTCAAAGCCAACTTCAGCAACATCGAGGCACTAAGCAACTCAATGAGACCCTGACTCTAAATAAAATACAAAATAGGGCTGGGGATGTGGCTCAGTGGTTGAGTACCCCTGAGTTCAATCCCCGGTACCAAAAAAATAAATAAATAAATTCAGTCCTGGCTAAATTGCTAGCTGTGTAACCTTGGGCAAGTCATTTAACCTTCATTTCCCCATCCATAAAGTAGGGATAATAATACCTACTTAGCAGGTCAAAATGAATATAAATGAACATTTATAGTATATATGAAATGCTTTCATACTATTTTTACTACAAAGTAAGTCCTCCATAGAAATAAACAATAATTATTAGGTTATGATATCATGAATTCATTGCAAGAGAAATCTTCAAAAGAAGATGTATATGTAGTGCCTAAAAATCAAGTTTGCCTTTGGGTTTCTAATTTTATCACAATGGTTCTTGATTTGTATATAGAATACAGTTAAATTACAGTGTTTTGTTTGTTTGTTTTTGGTTCTGGGGGTTGAACCAAGGGGCACTTTGCCACTCAGCTACATTCCAACCTTTTTTATTTTTTATTTGAGACAGGGTCTTCCTAAGTTGCTGAGGGTCTCACTGAGTTGCTGAGGTTAGCCTCAAACTTACAATCCTCCGGCCTCAGCCTCCCAAGTCCCTGGCATTATAGGTGTGCCCCACCATGCCCGGCATGCTTTGGTTTTTTACACACTGATTTACAAATTAGATATATCCGGGTTTCCTCAGGCAAATTAGAATTGGCAATTCAAAATAATGTATGTTTGCTATAATTATTAAAGACTATTCAATCAAATTTGATCTAAACTAACAAACAGAAAAGAAATAAAATAATCTTTAGGTATTATGTAGTTTTGTGCCAGGTGCAGTGGTGCATGCCTATAATTCCAGTGGCATAGGAGGCTGAGGCAGAGGCTTGCAAGTTCAAGGTCAGTCTCAGCAACTTAGTGAAGCCCTAAGCAACTCAGTGAGACCCTGTCTCTAAATAAATACAAATTTAAAAAAAGGGCTGGAGATAGTTCAATCCCTGGTACCAAAAAAAAAAAAGAATTATGTAGTTTTAAAAGTAAAAATTTATGATACTATTCATTGATAGTACATCAAATTTGCCTGATTCTGCTTTGTTCATTCAACAAATACTTCTTGAGCACCTACTGTGTGCTAGGGACTATACTAAGTACTGGGGGTTCGTCACCGAATAAATTATAAGAATTTCTTTCTTTCTTTTTTTTAATGTGGTGCTGGGGATTGAACCCAGGGCCTTGTGCATAAGAGGCAAGCGCTTTACCAACTGAGCTCTATATCCCTCCCCTCTTTTTTTTTTTTTTTTTTAACATTTATTTTTTAGTTGTAGGTGGACACAATACATTTATCTTATTTATTTTTTTTTTATAATTTTTATTGTTGGTTGTTCGAAACATTACATAGTTCTTGATATATCATATTTCACATTTTGATTCAAGTGGGTTATGAACTCCCATTTTTACCCCGTATACAGATTGCAGAATCACATCGGTTACACATCCACTGATTTACATATCGCCATACTAGTGTCTGTTGTATTCTGCTGCCTTTCCTATCCTCTACTATCCCCCCTCCCCTCCCCTCCCCTCCCCTCTTCTCTTCTCTCTCTACCCCATCTACTGTAATTCATTTCTCCCCCTTGTTTTTTTTTCCTTTCCCCTCACTTCCTCTTGTATATAATTTTGTATAACCCTGAGGGTCTCCTTCCATTTCCATGCAATTTCCCTTCTCTCTCCCTTTCCCTCCCACCTCTCATCCCTGTTTAATGTTAATCTTCTTCTCATGCTCTTCTTCCCTACTCTGTTCTTAGTTACTCTCCTTATATCAAAGAAGACATTTGGCATTTGTTTTTTAGGGATTGGCTAGCTTCACTTAGCATAATCTGCTCTAATGCCATCCATTTCCCTGCAAATTCTATGATTTTGTCATTTTTTAATGCAGAGTAATACTCCATTGTGTATAAATGCCACATTTTTTTTATCCATTCATCTATTGAAGGGCATCTAGGTTGGTTCCACAGTCTTGCTATTGTGAATTGTGCTGCTATGAACATCGATGTAGCAGTGTCCCTGTAGTATGCTCTTTTTAGGTCTTTAGGGAATAGACCGAGAAGGGGAATAGCTGGGTCAAATGGTGGTTCCATTCCCAGCTTTCCAAGAAATCTCCATACTGCTTTCCAAATTGGCCGCATCAATTTGCAGTCCCACCAGCAGTGTACAAGTGTACCCTTTTCCCCACATCCTCGCCAGCACTTGTTGTTGTTTGACTTCATAATAGCTGCCAATCTTACTGGAGTGAGATGGTATCTTAGGGTAGTTTTGATTTGCATTTCTCTGACTGCTAGAGATGGTGAGCATTTTTTCATGTACTTGTTGATTGATTGTATGTCCTTCTCTGAGAAGTGTCTGTTCAGGTCCTTGGCCCATTTGTTGATTGGGTTATTTGTTTTCTTATTGTTTAATTTTTTGAGTTCTTTGTATACTCTGGATATTAGGGCCCTATCTGAAGTGTGAGGAGTAAAGATTTGTTCCCAGGATTTAGGCTCCCTATTTACCTCTCTTATTGTTTCTTTTGCTGAGAAAAAACTTTTTAGTTTGAGTAAGTCCCATTTGTTGATTCTAGTTATTAACTCTTGTGCTATGGGTGTCCTATTGAGGAATTTGGAGCCCGACCCCACAGTATGTAGATCATAGCCAACTTTTTCTTCTATCAGACGCCGTGTCTCTGATTTGATATCAAGCTCCTTGATCCATTTTGAGTTAACTCATTTATCTTATTTTTATGTGGTGCTAAGAATTGAACCCAGTGCCTCATGCATGCAAACGAGCGCTTTTCCTCTGAGCCACAATCTCAGCCCCAATGATAAGAATTTCTTAGATTCATGTTTAAAGAATGTAATAGGATATTGCACTCAGTTGGCAATAAATTTAGATACGCTTTGCTGTTTAATTTTGCACTTACATGCCTGCATATGAAATCTTACTTCAATAGAAATTTATTTCCTTCACCTACCAACAAGAAACCAATATATATTGACATATAATATCTTTACTATTTTTATAAATGCTATTCTATAAAAGTAAGATATAACTTTGAGCTGAAGTAGGAACTTTTAGTGACTATAACTTCATAGTAATTATACTTTGACAAGCTTTAAGAATATAAGCAACATGTTTTCACTGGGGAACAAGTTGATACATTGAAATAAGAATTTTTGTGTGTGAAATTTTTCTGATTTATGCATTCTTGAACTGCTCTTCAAGTGTTGAATAATAATCAGACTGCCCCTTTTCTTGAGTGATTTCCCCCCTTTTTTAATGTAGCAATAAACATAAAGATTTAAATTTAAGCATGATAGATCTGAGCTATTTCAATTAAAATGACTTCTGAATCCTGTGCTAATGAATTTTTCTGTCTTTCAGACTAAAGGTTTCTTCATTGACCCAAGATAAACTGTTGACTGATGTCAATAGGAACTTGTGGGAAAAAATGAGATACTCCTCTGATGAAGAGGTACTCTGGTCTCTTTCTAAGTGGGAATCAGTGCAGACACTTTAAACAATGATTATTGTGAAATAATTGTTATTTGATAATTGGTGATGTAATATGCTACCAAGGTCTTGTTTAATTATATATAAGTAATTGTTAATATGTAATCTTTTCTCTCTTTTGGGGTACTGGGGATTGAATCCAGAGGCACTTAACCCCTGAGCCACATTCCCAGCCCTTTTTATTTTTTGAGACAGGGTCTCACTAAATTGCTTAGGGCCTTGCTAAGTTGCTGTAGCTGGCTTTGAAATCATGATCCTTCTGTCTCAGCCTCCCAAGTTGCTGGGATTACAGGCATGTGTCACCATGCCCAGTGATGTATAATCTTTTCAAACTCGTAATAATCACTAGATGTAATAATCACTAGATGCAGTGGTGCACACTTATAAACCCAATGGCTCAGGAGACTGAGGCAAGAGGATCAAAAGTTCAAGGCCAGCCTCAGCAATTTAGCAAGACTCTAAGTAACTTAGTGAAAACCTGTCTTAAGATTTAAAAAAAAGAGGTTGGGGATGTAGTTCACTGGTAAAGTGCCTCAGTACCAAAAAAAAGAAAAAAATAAAAAAACCACCTATGATGATTAATTTAATATGTGAGATGTATTTGAAGTTTCCTTGTTTGCCTTTCACTTACTTATATTTAAATGAAGAAAAGTTCAACTATAATTGGTTAAATAACAAGTGACCCATTTCATGTGTATGCTAATGTTGAAAGTGAACCTGTCATTTTCTGATTTTTAATGTGAATAAATAAATTACAGGCAGCAATCAAAACTAAAATATTTGGTTCCTTTTTTAAGCAGCTATATGGATTTAAATTTCCAAGTGATCAGTGTCCTGTTTTAGGAATCAGAATCTAGATCAGGCAAAGCCTTGCATGTGGCAGCTGAATGAACTTCTGGATCAGTTACCTTTTCTGACTGGTTTGTTTTAGTGCATTGTACTCCTTAACTCTCCCTTACAGCTGAAGGCCTTTGGAGTTTACGTTAACAAAATAAAATCATGTGTTACCAAGGTAACTAAAGTCTTCACTCACCAAGGAAAAGTGACTCTGTACAGCAAGCTGGTGCAGTCAGCCCAGGTAATTTGAGACAATTAACAGCATTAAAAAAAAAAACTATTAATATTACTTGTTGGGCATGGTGGTGCATGGCTGTAATCCTAGCGGTTTGGGAGGCTGAGGCAGGAGGATCACAAATTCTAGACTAGCCTTGGCAATTTAGCAAGACCTGTCACAAAATAAAAAAGTAGAAAAGAGCTGGGGATGTAGCTTGTGGTAAATTACCCCTGGGTTCAATTCCCAGTGTACCACAAAGGAAAAAATAAAAGTACTTTCTAGTGGTGTGGAATATGAAGAATGTTCTTTAGGAGATATGTGAATGAAATTTGAGTGAGAACAACTGTTCTTAAGAGAGCAGGCTCAGTCAAAAGTGACAAGTCTTGTTATCTTCAGTAACTGGAAAGTAGTTACTAATATGGGCTTATATCTCAGATATTGTTATTACACATTGAAATAAAATATATATAAGATTTAGGTCTCCCATTGCTAAAGACTATAAAATGGAAAGTATAGTATATAGACTATAGTTTTGTCTTCTTCACCTTTGTATCTAGTTGTATATGTGTGTCCATGAAGCTTAAAATAGCATTTTCAAAATGATTATCCTCCCATTGGCAAATAAATATGAAAAATATTGCATACAATATAATCTTAGAGAAATATAAATTTTAATGTCTAAAAATAAAAATGATGTCATGGATCAGTTTTTCCCTTATTTGACCATAGAAAAAATTTTAAAGAACTTTTTTTTTTCAAAGTAACATTAATATCCCATATTCCATGAAACACATATACAAATACTTGAATAAAGGAAAATACAGCCAAGCTCCATGGGGTATGCCTATAATTCCAGTTACTTAGGAGACTGAGGCAGAAGGATTACAAGTTTGAGGCTAGCAAGTTAGACTCTTGTCTCAAAAAAGGCTGGGGACGTACCTCAGTGCCAAAGCACCTTAACTTTAATCTCTAGCAGCTAAATAAATAAATAAGTAAAAGAGAATACAAATTAATTTGTATTTATCTCCTTTTAAAATTTCATTTATTTTTAAGTCCAGATTGAAGGTTTGGCCATTTTAAGATTTACCCATTTATGATCAAGACGTAGCAGTTATGTCAACAACTTAAACTATTTATAATGTTTTGTTTGGAAGTTTAACCTTACAATTATAATATTTTGTGTTTAGAATGAGAGGGAGAAACTTCAGATAAGGATAGATGAGATGGATAACATACTCAAGAAGATCAATAATTGTCTGTCTGAAGTGGAAATAGGTAAAGTATTTTAAATGTTTAACTTAGTGGTAGCACTCTATAGAGTCATCCCAGAATTATAATGAATACTTTTCCGCAATCATATTTAAATTTAATGCTTTCCTACAATAGAGATGGTTTGTATTTTTGTGTGTGTGTGGGTGGCGCTGTGGATGAAATCCAGGGCCTTGTGCATGCAAGGCAAGCACTCTACCAACTGAGCTACATCCCCAACCTGTTGCCTTATTATGCCGACACGTATTAGCACCTTGAAACCTTAGATTAAAGCAAATTAAAACTCCTTTACTATGGTCATCTGTAACACAGTCAACAAGAGATACCCAAGATGAGTCCCTGTGGAAAACTCTTAATAATCTAGACTATAATTTTGTATTTTTTAATAGATAAGTCCATCTCATTTGAAAATTGGTGGGGATGTAGCTTAGTGGTAGAACACTTGCTAACAATTGCAAGGTCCTATCTTTGATCCGTAGCAGCATACACAACAAGAAAATTACCTAGGTGCAGTGGCGCGTATCTGTAGTATCAGTGACTCTGGAGGAGGATCACAAGTTGGAGGCCAATCTAGGCAATTTAGCAAGACCCTACCTCAAAATAAACAGGGCTAGGGACGTAGTTCAGTAGTAGAGTGTTCCCGGGTTCAATCCCAAGTACCATCAAAAGAAAGAAAATTGTCTTAACCTTTCAGTTTGGCTTCTCATAATCTTCACTTGTTAATTATGCTTTCCTTAAGCTGCTTCCTCAGAGATCTCAAAATTCCACATAATCATCAAATTTGGTTACTCTTGGCCCTTAACCATCTGACTTGTTTCAGCTTTTGCTGCTGCTGATTGTTCATTTCTTCCTGAATCTTTCATCTATCTTAACCTCTATGATATTGCACTACCTTAACCCTATTGTTTTCTCCGGGCTATTCCTTTTAATTCCTCTGATGGCTTCTTTTTCTCTAACCCCTTGTGTGTAATTTAGATTTTGTCATCCCTTTTATATTCTCTCCTCTAATGCTTTCATCTGCTTTAATAATTATGTAACTAATTCCCAAATTCAGTTAAATTCATCGAATATTTTTTGAGCACCTACTTCATGCCATATACTCTGCTTATCATCAGGGGAAAAAAATAAAGAAATGATACAGGTTTTGCCCTCAAGTACTTTATAATCATTTTGGCTGAGCACATCTTTAACCTGTTTGAGTTTTAGATTATATAATTTCTGTCTTCTTACTGAACTTCAGTGCAACAATATCCTTAAGCACTTTAAACTCTATGTGAATAAATAATCTTCTCCCATCTCCAAAATCTAATTCAAAAACTTGTTTCTTGTCCTCTGAATTCCAGCCCAAACTACATACATTTCTATGTAGTTATGCCATTTTCTGTTTTTGTTGTTATCGTTTTATGGTGTGGAGAATCAAGCCCAAGGCTTTGGGCATGCTAGACCTAAAGTACTCTACCACTGAATTGTATCTCTAGTCCCCTGCCACTTATTTTTTTGTATGTATGATCTTGTTTTATTTTTTTGGTTGGCTTTTGAGGTACTAGAGATTGAACTCAGGGATGCTCTACCACTGAGCAGTATCCCCACCCCCACCCCCCCCTTTTTTTTTTAATTCTTTTAAAACAGGGTTTTGCTCAATTTCATAGGCTGGCCTCAAATTTGCAATCTTCCTGCCTCTGGGATTACAGTCATGCACCACTATGCCTACCTGCCACTTTGTTTTGGCTAATACATTCTCCTGTTTTCCATGAAGGGAAATACTCTCCATCTCTTTAGCTTCTGTGGCTGTCACTTGTATTGTAGTTATTTTGTTCAGTTTATCTTCCTAATTATAAGGTACATGGAAGCCAAAATCAGCTTTTATTTTTCTCCAGGTCCTTAGTACTATTAGTACTATGCTATATAGAGTATAAGTGCCTGTACATGTGTTCTGCATTAAATTGATAATAAATATATGAATTCCATAGTCTTAGACTGTCCCACTCTTTTGTTGATTATCTTTCTATTTCACAGAATATTATTTATTGAGCAAATTTGCTGAGTACCTACCATGTGTCATATACAGTACTTAGTGCTAAGAACACACTGGTGATCAAACATTAGTTCTACTTTTATGGGGCTTCCAGTCCAAAAGAGAATATAGTCATTAAGTGAATAATTTTATAATAAATTCTGAGGAAAAGGTTACAAGGTGCTATTGAGGTCCTGTAATAGAAATCTGACATAGTCAAGAGGTCATGGTAGCCTTCCTGCTAAAGAAGTGACATTTAAGCTAAGATATGAAGGATGAATGGGAGTCTCAAAGTGAAAAGGATAGAAAGAGCAGCCTGTTCAATGAATAACAAAAGTAGAAACCCTATTAGGAAAAAAATGTGCCAATTACAAGTGTTTGAAAATAAGGCCACTATAACTAAAATAGAGCAAAAGGCAACATAACCTGAGAAGAGCTATAGATATCACTAGTGACCAGGTCTAATTGGGCCTCTTAAGGTAATTCTGAATTTTTCTAAGAGAAAGGAACAGTCATTTGACAGGTCTTAATTAAGCACTGGCTACTGGCTAGAGATTGGATTTGAGTAGATCAAGAGTAAATAACCAGTTAATCCATTATTGGACTAGTAACAGAGCCAGGTGTGGTGGCACATGCTATAATCCCAGTAGCCTGGGAGGCTGAGACAGGAGGATCGCAGGTTCAACACCAGCCTCAGCAACTTGGCAAGGCTCTAAGCACCTTAGCGAGACTTTGTCTCTAAATAAAATATAAAAAGGGCTGGGGATGTGCCTCAGTGCTTGAGTGTCCCTGAGTTTAATCCCCAGTACCAAAAAAAAAGAAAGAAAGAATAGAAGCTTATTTTAAGAGATGCTGGTAATGGTGAAGAAAAAGATATCTTTGAGGTAAGATCTTAACTTGGATAAACTTAATATGGGGAGAAGGGGCTGGGGTTTTTGGCTTAGTGGTAGCGTGCTTGCGTGGCATGCATGAGGCACTGGGTTCGATTCTCAGCACCACATACGAATAAATAAAATAAAAAGGCATGCCTTTAAAAAAAAAATGGTGAGAGAGGAGAGTTTTTAGAATGATTCCCAGGTTTCTAAAACAAATTGTGTGACAATCTTCAATGCATATTTACTCCCATCCCTTCCCCAGTAAATTTCCCAAGTTCAAAAAAAAAAAATTTTTTTGTGTGTTCAAATATTTTTTACTTAGCCCATATATGTTGCCTAACAACTATTATGTTCTTGCAAATTATATGTATAAATAGTGGACCATGAGAAGATAGAAGATACTAATAGAGATCCTTGCTTTGTGGCTCAGAGCTCACTTCTCTGCCACCAGATAAGTGTATGTCTTCATATGAAATTATAATTATAGTTTAGTACAGAGAATAGATGGTATTTGTGAAATACCTCCAACACTTCACTTTGTGACCATCTATTCTTTTCATATCTGATATTTAATAAATTATCTTGATTGACTTATTCTAATGCATGCTATTTACTTTTAGAAACTAAGAATTTGGAAGATGAGGAGAAAGACAATCCTGTGGAAGAATGGGATTCTGAAATGAGAGCTGCAGAGAAAGGTAACTTTTTGAATTATTTAAAGATATTTAAAAAAATTTTTTAAAGCCCTTTTGAGTTTGTTTTTTAATGTATTTAAATGAGATTAAGTCTGAATTTTCAACAAAACAGATGATTTTGTGAAGGTATTATGTGAAGGTATTAAGGTATTATGTTTTGTTTTCTTTTTATAGAACTGCAACAGTTAAAAACAAACGAAGAGGAGCTTCAAAGGTCAGACTTTAATGCAAGTGTTAGACAATCTAATGCTAAACTCCAGAAAGCTAAATGACTTCCTACTTCCAGAGAGTCACAAGAATTATGAACAAGAGTCTTGACTAAAGGTGACTTAGAGCTTCTGCTGCACTGAACTGGACCCTAAAGCACATCATAGCCATCAGTATTTTCAAAGCCCTTACTATTTATAGGGCATTAATCGAAAGCAGGATTTCTCAAGCTTGAATTCTATCAGGATCCTTTTAAAGAAAATAAACCAAGAATTAAACTATTTTTATATTTGTACTTAAATAAGTATATGTAAGTATGAAATGAGGCATATATTTCTTAAGCATGTGAATCTTGCTCAACTTTAAGACGAAAAGAAATTAAATCATGACAAAACCAATAAAAGTCCAGTTGACAACATTAACAGGTAGTAATGTTTGAAATTAAATCAATGCTAGCAAAATGACTAACAAAAGGTCAAGTTCTATTTAGCTGCAAGAAACTGAAATCAAATGCAGGCAACAAAGTTATTACATGTCTTGGTTTTAAAGTGAATATCCTTATGACCTACATTATGCTTTTTTGTTATCAAAAATGAAAAAGTAGGCGCATGCTTGTAATCCCAGCTGCTCGGGAGACTGAGGCAGGAGGATCTTAAGTTCAAAGTCAGCCTTAGCAAAAGCGAGGCGCTAAGCAATTCAGTGAGACCATGTCTCTTATTTTTAATAATTATTTTAGAAAACATTGGAACCCCGAGGATATCTTCATGGATCCTGATTTGAGAGCCAGTGATTGGTACCTTTTCTAAGTAAGCCTACTTCTACATTAATGCTTACCAGAAATAAGTAAATAAACAAATATATATATTTTTTTAACCTGGGAGCCATCAAGCATGTGACTTCTTATCATAAACCTTTTTGTTATAGTTTGAATTCTTGTAACAAAGACCATATCTTTCTGTGAATACCTGGGTTTTTTGTTTTGTTTTGCAGAAAGCTCTTAGAACTGGAGGTACAGAAAGAGCAGACCCTTACTCAGATAGACTTTATGCAGAAACAAACAAATAGAACTGAAGAACTACTGAATCAGCTGAGGTAAGGCAAAGCAGGTGACATTTGTATTTTATCCTGTGTTTTAGTCATTGTCTAATCTACTACAGCAGTTGAAAATGTTTTCAGAATGTGTTGTTGTAGGTTTTTCCAGGGGTTTGTTTTGTTCTTGCTTTAGATGGGGTCTAACCATTTTTCCCAGACTGACTTTGAACTGAGCTCAAGCAATCCTAGCTGACTATCTCCTGAGTAGCTGGGACAACAGAACAGGCATACACCACTGTGCCCAGCAATTACTACAGGCTTTTAACCTGTATGCACAAGGCAGCTTCAAAAAGGGTCAGAGTTTTTACTAAAGTGAAAATATACAGGGTGGAAGAGCTATGTATGGAATAATGTTAAAGTATTTAATACTTTGCATAGACTTGTTTTTTTCTCTGATACTCTAATTACAACTTAAGTTTTTTTTTTTTTTTTTCTGGTACTGGGGATTGAACTCAGGGGCACTTGACCACTGAGTCACATTCCCAGCCCTATTTTGTGTTTTATTTAGAGACAGGGTCTCACTGAGTTGCTTAGCACCTCACTTTTGCTGAGGCTGGCTTTGAACTTTCAGTCCTCCTACATTCACAGTATTTGAACTGAAATATCAGTTGTCTCTGAATCCAGTGGGAAAACATCAGCAACTGTTATTGATACTGTTTTGAGTAGTTTTAGAAATTCTCTGTTTGGGATGGAAGTATAGCTTAGTAGTAGAGCATTTGCCTAGCATATATAAAACCTTGGGGTTAATCTCCAGCACACACACACAAAATAAAGAAGTTAATCTTTTATCTTTTAAAAAGATGTGGCTTTTTTTTCCCCCTTCTTCTCTCCAGTTTGTCTGAGTGGGATGTTATTGAGTGGACTGATGATCAAGCTGTATTTACCTTTGTTTATGACACCATAGAACTCATTATCACCTTTGGAGAACCAGTAGGTGAGTAGTAAAAGTTACATAATCCTCTGCAGAGGTCTGGGGATGTAGTTCATTAATAGAGTACTTATGTAAGAGGCCCTGGGTTCAATCCCCAGTAGCACACAAACAAACAAAAAGAATAAAATACAAAGCTGGAGATGTAAGTCAGGTAGAACACTTGCCTAGTACACATGAGGTCCTGGATTCAATCATCAGTATCACCAATAAATAAATAAAAACATAGCTAGTTAAAGTTGCCATTTGTTTTAGTGTTTGGACCCTCAGGGGTACTTTATCACTGAGCTACATCCTCAGCCCTTTTTATTTTTTATTTTGAGACAGGTTCTCACCAAGTGGCTTAGGGTCTTGCTAAGTTTGCTGAGGCTCAAATTTGTTGTCCTCCTGAGTCAGAGGGATTATAGGCAGGTTCTACTGTCAGTATCTTTAGGTCTTTTCTCTTTAACTGGTCAGCTTAAGTACAACCATATTGGAATGTAGGATCTTCATAGCCTCCCAGCCTTTGCATCTGATTTTTAGAATGAATAGCATTACCTTCTGTCCAAATCCAGGCTTAAAATTTAGGAATCATGTACATCTCCTTCTCCCTCATTACACATAGCCAAAATCATCAATAAGACATACTGATTTTAATTTCTTTTTTTTTTTAATTAAATTTAATTTTTTATTACCTATTAAATTTAATTTATTTTATTAGCAAGATCATATTACAATGATCTTGACAATTCATACATTTGAATCATTGGGGTATAATTTCTCATTTTTCTAATTGTACAGATTGCAGAATCACACTGGTCACAGAGTCACCTATATACATGTAGCAATCATAATGTCTATTCTGCTGCCCTTCCTATCCCCCCTATTCCTCCCCTCCCCTCCCATCATTTCTGTCTATCCAATCTAATGTGACACATTTTTTTTTTCTTATCACAAAATCATATATGTATTCTGTATAACGATGAGATTCTCCTTCCATCTTCCGTGCACCTCCCCTTTTCCCTCTTTTCCCCCCCACCTCTCTTCCCTATTTAGTGGTAGTCGTCTTCTCATGCTTTTCCTTCCTATCCCATTTTGAGTCACCCCCTTGTATCAGAGAAGACATTCGGCATTTGATTTTTAGGGATTGGCTAACTTCACTTAGCATAATCTGCTCTAATGCCATCCATTTCCCTGCAAATGCCAAGATCTTGTTATTTTTTTAGTGCTGAGTAATATTCCATTGTGTATAAATGCCGCATTTTTTTGATCCATTCATCTATTGAAGGGCATCTAGGTTGGTTCCACATTCTAGCTATTGTGAATTGTGCTGCTATAAACGTTGATGTGGCTGTGTCCCTGTAATATGCTCTTTTTAGGTCTTTTGGGTATAGTCCAAGAAGGGGAATAGCTGGGTCAAATGGTGGTTCCATTCCCAGCTTTCCAAGGACTCTCCATACTGCTTTCCAAATTGGCTGCACCAATTTGCAGTCCCATCAGCAATGTATGAGTGTACCTTTTCCCCACATCCTCGTCAGCACTTATTGTTGTTTGACTTCATAATGGCTGCCATTCTTATTGGAGTGAGATGGTATCTTAGAGTAGTTTTAATTTGCATTTCTCTGATTGCTAGAGATGGTGAGCATTTTTTCATGTATTTGTTGATTGATTGTATATCCTCTTCTGAGAAGTGTCTGTTCAAGTCCTTGGCCCATTTGTTGATTGGGTTATTTGTTTTTTTGTTGTTTAACTTTTTGAGTTCTTTGTATACTCTAGTGATTAGAGCTCTATCTGATGTTTGAGGCGTAAAAATTTGTTCCCAGGATGTAGGCTCCCTATTCACTTCACATATTATTTCTCTTGCTGAGAAAAAACTTTTTAGTTTGAATTCATCCCATTTGTTGATTCTTGGTTTTAACTCTTATGCTATAGGTGTCTTATTAAGGAATTTGGGGCCTGCCCCCACGTGATGAAGATTAGGGCCAACTTTATTTTCTATTAGACGCAGAGTCTCTGGTCTGATTCCTAGCTCCTTGATCCATTTTGAATTGACTTTTGTGCATGGTGAGAGAAAGGGATTCAATTTCATTTTGTTGCATATGGATTACCAGTTCTCCCAGCACCATTTGTTGAAGATGCTATCCTTTCTCCATTGCATGTTTTTAGCACCTTTGTCTAATATAAGGTGGTTGTCATTTTGTGGATTTGTCTCTGTGTCCTCTATTCTGTACCATTGGTCTACCATCCTGTTTTGGTGCCAGTACCATGCCGTTTTTGTTACTATTGCTCTATAGTACAGTTTAAAATCTGGAATCACGATACCACCAGTTTCATTCTTCATGCTTAGAATTACTGTAGCTATTCTGCGTCTCTTATTTTTCCAGATGAAGTTCATGATTGCTTTTTCTATTTCTGCAAAGAATGTCATTGGGATTTTGATGGGAATTGCATTGAATCTGTAAAGTGCTATTGGTAATATGGCCATCTTAATAATATTAATTCTACCAATCCATGAGCAAGGTAAATCCTTCCATCTTCTAAGGTCTTCTTCTGTTTCTTTCTTCAGGGTTCTGTAGTTTTCATTGTATAGATCTTTCACCTCTTTTGTTAGGTTGATTCCCAGGTATTTTAATTTTTTTGAGGATATTGTGAATGGAGTAGTTGTCCTCATTTCCATTTCAGAGAATGTCACTGATATTCAGGAATGCCTTTGATTTATTGGTATTGATTTTATATCCTGCCACTTTGCTGAATTCATTTACTAGTTCTAGAAGTTTCTTGGTTGAACTTTTTGGGTCTGCTAAGTATAGGATCATGTCATCGGCAAATAGTGCTAATTTAAGTTCTTCTTTTCCTATATTTATGCCTTTAATTTCTTTCGTCTAATTGCTCTGGCTAGTGTTTCAAGAAGTATGTTGAATAGAAGTGGTGAGAGAGGGCATCCCTGTCTTGTTCCAGATTTTAAAAGGAATGCCTTCAATTTTTCTCCATTTAGAATGATGCTGGCCTGAGGCTTAGCGTATATAGCTTTTACCATGTTGAGGTAATTTCCTGTTATCCCTAATTTTTCTAGTGTTTTGAACATAAAGGGATGCTGTATTTTTTTTAATGCTTTTTCAGCATCTATCGAAATGATCATATGGTTCTTATCTTTAAGTCTATTGATGTGGTTAATTACATTTATTGATTTCCGTATATTGAACCAGCCTTACATCCCGGGGATGAATCCCACTTGGTCATGGTGCACGATCTTTTGATATGTTTTTGTATCCGATTTGCTAGAATTTTATTGAGGATTTTTGCATCTATATTCATTAGGGATATTGGGTCTGAAGTTTTCTTTCTTTGAAGTGTCTTTATCTGGTTTTGGAAGCAGAGTGATGTTGGCCTCATAGAATGAATTTGGAAGTACTCCCTCTTTTTCTATCTCCTGAAATAGATTGAAGGGTATTGGTATTAGTTCTTCTTTAAAGTTCTTGTAAAACTCTGCTGTATATCCGTCTGGTCCTGGGCTTTTCTTGGTTGGTAGTCTTTTGATGGTTTCTTCTATTTCCTCACTTGATATTGGTCTGTTTAAGTTGTTTATATCATCCTGACTCAATCTAGGTAGCTCATATGCCTTAAGGAATTTATCGATGCCTTCACTATCCTCAATTTTATTAGAGTATAGGGTTTTAAAATAATTTCTGATTATCTTCTGTATTTCTGAAGTGTCTGTTGTGATGTTGCCTTTTTCATCCCGTAAGCTAGTAATTTGGGTTCTCTCCTTCTCTTTGTTAGCATGGCTAGTGGTCTATCAATCTTATTTATTTTTTCAAAGAACCAACTTTTAGTTTTGTCAGTTTTTTCGATTGTTTCTTTTGTTTCGATTTCTGATTTTAATTTCTTACTATCCATTTTTCTCCATCTCTTTTGTCAGTTGTCATCTCTAATCCAGATGAGTATGATAACATTCCAATTGAACTTTCTGGATTTTCCCTTTTTCCTTGATAATTCATTCTCCTCCATGTAGCTATAGTGATTGTTGAAAATCTAATCATGCATATACAGTTATGTTAAATTAATGATCAAAATATTTTTTATTGGTTGTTCAAAACATTACAAAGCTCTTGACATATCATATGTCATACATTAGATTCAAGTGGGTTATGAACTCCCATTTTTACCCCAAATACATATTGCAGAATCACATCGGTTACACATCCACATTTTTACATAATGCCATATTAGTAACTGTTGTATTCTGCTACTTTTCCTATCCTCTACTGTCCCCCTCCCCTCCCCTCCCATCTTCTCTCTCCACCCCTCCCCTCCCCTCCCCTCCCATCTTCTCTCTCTACCCCTCCCCTCCCATCTTCTCTCTCTACCCCTCCCCTCCCCTCCCATCTTCTCTCTCTACCCCATCTACTGTAATTCATTTCTCTCGTTGTTTTTTTTTTTTCCCCATTCCTCTCACAACCTCTTATATGTAATTTTGTATAACAGTGAGGGTCTCCTTCCATTTCCATGCAATTTCCCTTTTCTCTCCCTTTCCCTCCCACCTCATGTCTCTGTTTAATGTTAATCTTTTCCTCCTGCTCTTCCTCCCTGCTCTGTTCTTAATTGCTCTCATTGTATCAAAGAAGACATTTGGCATTTGTTTTTTAGGGATTGGCTAGCTTCACTTAGCATAATCTGCTCTAATGCCATCCATTTCCCTGCAAATTCTATGATTTTGTCATTTTTTAATGCAGAGTAATACTCCATTGTGTATAAATGCCACATTTTTTTTATCCATTCATCTATTGAAGGGCATCTAGGTTGGTTCCACAGTCTAGCTATTGTGAATTGTGCTGCTATGAACATCGATGTGGCAGTATCCCTGTAGTACGCTCTTTTAAGGTCTTCAGGGAATAGTCCGAGAAGGGCAATAGCTTGGTCAAATGGTGGTTCCATTCCCAGCTTTCCCAGGAATCTCCATACTGCTTTCCAAATTGGCCACACCAATTTGCAGTCCCATCAGCAATGTAGAAGAGTACCCTTTTCCCCACATCCTCGCCAGCACTTGTTGTTGTTTGACTTCATAATGGCTGCCAATCTTACTGGAGTGAGATGGTATCTTAGGGTGGTTTTGATTTGCATTTCTCTGACTGCTAGAGATGGTGAGCATTTTTTCATGTACTTGTTGATTGATTGTATGTCCTTCTCTGAGAAGTGTCTGTTCAGGTCCTTGGCCCATTTGTTGATTGGGTTATTTGTTTTCTTATTGTTTAATTTTTTGAGTTCTTTGTATACTCTGGATATTAGGGCTCTATCTGAAGTGTGAGGAGTAAAAATTTGTTCCCACGATGTAGGCTCCCTATTTACCTCTCTTATTGTTTCTCTTGCTGAGAAAAAACTTTTTAGTTTGAGTAAGTCCCATTTGTTGATTCTAGTTATTAACTCTTGTGCTATGGGTGTCCTATTAAGGAATTTGGAGCCCGACCCCACAATATGTAGATTGGAGCCAACTTTTTCTTCTGTCAGACGCAGAGTCTCTGATTTGATATCAAGCTCCTTCATCCATTTTGAGTTAACTTTTGTGCATGGCGAGAGAAGGGGATTCAGTTTCATTTTGTTGCATATGGATTTCCAGTTTTCACAGCACCATTTGTTGAAGATGCTATCCTTCCTCCATTGCATGCTTTTAGCCCCTTTATCAAATATAAGATAGTTGTAACTTTGTGGATTAGTCTCTGTGTCCTCTATTCTGTACCATTGGTCCACCCGCCTGTTTTGGTACCAGTACCATGCTGCTTTTGTTACTATTGCTCTGTAGTATAGTTTGAAATCTGGTATCGCTATGCCGCCTGATTCACACTTCCTGCTTAGAGTTGCTTTTGCTATTCTGGGTCTTTTATTATTCCATATGAATTTCATGATTGCTTTATCTATTTCTACAAGAAATGCCATTGGGATTTTGATTGGCATTGCATTAAACCTATAGAGAACTTTTGGTAATATCGCCATTTTGATGATGTTAGTTCTGCCTATCCATGAACAGGGTATATTTTTCCATCTTCTAAGATCTTCTTCTATTTCTCTCTTTAGGGTTCTGTAGTTTTCATTGTATAAATCTTTCACCTCTTTTGTTATGTTGATTCCCAAGTATTTTATTTTTTTTTTGAGGATATTGTGAATGGGGTGTTTTTCCTCATTTCTGTTTCAGAAGTTTTGTCGCTGATATACAGAAATGCCTTTGATTTATGCGTGTTGATTTTATATCCTGCCACTTCAAAATATTTTATATAGTCTGTAAAGCCTTTGCATAAATTGAATTTTTCTTTTTCTGCCTCATTTTGTATACCTTTTTTTTTTTTTTTTTTTAACATATTCTGCATGTTGACCAGATTGGATTTCTTTCATTTCCTTAAATGATCATGATCATTCATGTTCAGTCATTCCATCCTACCTCAAGACTTTCATACAGATGTTTCTTATTCCTGGAAGCTCTTTTCTTCCTCTTCACTACTAAAATTTCTAATAAGCCTTAAAAGCTTAGCTTAATTATCAGTTTCACAGGAAAGTTTTCCATGACTCTCCTTTTATACCTACCTGCTCTGCCAATTCCCCCTCATAGTCTATGTTTTCATTGCTCTCTGCAATATTCCTTAATAGCATTTACCACAATTTGTAGTTTTTATGTCCTTCTGATTTGTAAAGCTTCTTGAGGATGTGGGTGATTATGACTTTCTCTCATTATGGTATCCACTTAACACATAGAAAATATTTAGCAAAGCATTCAATAAATTAAAAAGAATCAAAATTTGTGAGATAGATGATATGTCTATAGAGTCTGAAGGAATGAGCAGTTGTCCTGATGATCTAAAAATTCATTACAGTTAAACTATAATCCCAGAAACTAGGGAGGCTGAGGCAGGAAGATCACACGTTCAAAGCCAGACTTGGCAACTTAGCTAGAGACCCTAAGCAACTTACCTAGACTGTGTTCTCAATAAATTGGAAAAGGGCTGGGACTGGGCACTATAGCACACTCCTATAATCCTAGCAGTTCAGGAGGAAGCTGAGGCAAAAGGATTGCAAGTTCAAAGCCAAACTCAGCAACTTAGCAAGTCCCTAAGTAACTGAGCTAGACCCTGTTGCAAAATAAAAACTAAAAAAGGGCTGGGGATATTGCTCAGCAGTTAAGTGCCCCTGGGATCAATCCTCTGTACCCGCCTGCTCCCCACCCCAAAAAAAAATCATCATGGCAATATAAAAAGTATTGATCATTTTGAGTGTATTTGTTCAGGGATAGTAGGTATGGGGAGGCTATGTTCCTTATATGATTCCTAAAAAAATTTATCTTTGCACAGAAGTTAGGGGGCAAAAAGAGGAGATATATTCTACACATAAAATTTCCTTCTAAGATCAATGTTGTTGAGGAAAATCTCAGTCAAACTTACCATAATTTGAGAATCTGATTCAAAGATAAACCTTCAACTCCCTGTGAAAAAACCCTTCTACCCAGAATAGTACTGAGTTTTATGTGGCTTAAAATCAGAACAAAAAGAAATGTTATTCTTTTCCTGGTTCATCTTAGTTGGTCTCCCTTTCTTGGACAAGGCTCACAGGAAGATTACTGACCTAAATTTTCAGTCTCTGTTAGATGGTAAGTTCAAAACATTTATGCTTCTTAAAAATTTTGTTGGGCTGGGGATATAGCTTAGTTGGTAGAGTGCTTGCCTTGCATGCACAAGGCCCTGGGTTCAAACCCCAGCACCAAAAAAAAAAAAATTATTAATTTATAGATACAAGTGCTTCTTGGTAACTCTTTCACTAATTTAAATATTAATATTAATAATTTATATTTAAAATATGTATTAGGTATAAAATTGAGTAATGTTTTAAATATTGGGTGGATTTTTTTAAAATTTTTTTAGTTGTTGATGGACCCTTATTTTATTTACTCATATGCAGTACTGAGAATCAAACCCAGTACCTCACACATGCTAGGCAAGTGCTCTACCACTGAGCTACAACCCTAGCTCCTGGGTGGATCTGAAAAGAAATGACATTCTCATTATCTTTAAATGATTGATAAATAGGCATTTCCATAGTTTGAAAATTACATCATGAATATTTCATCTGAGGCAGATTTATTACTTACATTAGTACTATAAGGTAGGAAACTACAGATCAGAAAAATTAAATGTTGCTTGGTGCAGTGGTACATGCCTGTAATCCCCAGCTGCTAGCGAGGCTGAGGCAGAACGATCACAAGTTCAAGGCCAGCCTGGGCAGCTTAGACCTTACATCAAAATAAACATTTTAAAAAGGGTTAGGGGTGTAGCTTCAGAGGTACAGCTCCAGGAACACAAAAACAAAAGCAAAAAAAAAAAAAAAAATTACATAAGAGGTTGGGGCTATAGCTCAGTGGTAGAGTGCTTGCCTAGCTTGTGAGGCACTGGGTCCAATTCTCAGCACCACATAAAAATGTATAAATAAAATAAAGGTATTGTGTCCACCTACAACTAAAAGTTTAAAAAAAAATGGGCGCTGGGTTTGTTGCTCAGCAGTAGAGCACTCACCTAGCACGTGCAAGGAACTGGGTTCGATCCTTAGCACCATGTAAAAATCATGTAAAAATAAATAAATAAAATAAAGATATTTTTTCCAACTACAACTAAAAAAAATTTTTTTTTTTAAATCACTTAAGATATAAAGAAATCTAGGATTTGAACGTAGTAGTTTATGTTACATTGAAACCCATGGTTTTAATCAGATATTATTTTGTATGTGATAAAGGCTTGAGTTTTTGTGGGAATACTTTATATTCACCATTTATTTTATAATCATGTTGAAAATAAAAATCAAGAGGATACTTCCACATCTAACAGGTTGAGGGTATTTCTAGCTTATGTGACAATAGTATTTTTAGCTTACATAAAATATATGAGTAAGTAATACCTTCCTTTTTGTTTTTGGTTTTTTTCTTCCCCAGAGGATAAAGCTCCTACTTCCTCCCTTTTAGTTCATAAGCTTATTTTTCAGTACATAGAGGAGCAGGAATCCTGGAAGAAGAAGTGTACAACACAGCATCAGGTACCCAAGGTAAAGTTTGATTGAAGTATATAAAGGAAAACTTGCAAACTCTGTCCCACAAAGCAGAATTGAAATTATAAATATATAATAGAATCTGAAATGATATATTCAATTATTTAACTTTTTGAGTTCTTTGTAGCAGTTATTGAACATTGAAATCTTTTTTTTTTTAAATTTTTTTAGATGCTTCAAGAACTCTCACCAATAGTAAACAATTGCAGACTCCTTGGAGAAGAGATTGAGTTTTTAAAGAAATGGGGACCAAATTATAATCTAATGGACATAGATGTGAATAATACTGAGTAAGTGTATTATTTCCCTGGGCAGCTCTTACAAAGTACTACAAATTGGATGGCTTAAATAAAAGAAATTTATTATCTCAAAGTTGAGGATAGAAGTCTAAAATCAGAGTATTACTCAGGTTCTTTCTAAGGGTTGAGAGAGAGAATCTTTTCCATGCCTTTCTCCCAATTTCTGATGGTCTTCTGGCAATTTTTGATATTCCTTGACTTTTAAATGTCCAAACTCTGATCCCTGGCCTTTATCCTCACATGGTATTCTTTCGGTGTCCAAATTTCCCTTTTTTATAACAATACCAGTCAGATTAGGGCCTGACCTACTCTAATAGAACCTTATCTTAAATTTGCAATTACCTGATTTCCAAATAAGATCACATTTTAGGTATAGAGGTTAGGACTTCAGCATATGAATTTTGGGGAATATATTTCAACCTATAACAACAAATAATTAGTCAAGAACTTATTAAAATAATTGTGTTTGTTTTTTATATAACTAGGGATTGAACACAGTACATCACACATGCTAGACAAGTGCTTTGCCACTGAGCTCTATCCCCAACCATAAAATATTTATTATTGTGTTTCCTGACTAACAGTGAAAAAAGAACCATTTTAATACCTTGCTCCAGGTGTTTTACTTGATAAGGATAAGATAAATCCATTTGATAAGGACAAGAAATAAGGTGTGCCTAAATTTCATATGCCAGTCTACATGGAAAAAATATGTTTGTATTTCAGTATATATTTTTAATTGTGGGTCTTGTTTTTTAACAGATTGAAGCTTTTATTCTCCAGCTCTGTAGCATTTGCAAAGTTTGCGGTAACTTTGTCTCTCTCAGCCCATTATCCATTAGTCCCATTACCTTTCACCATTCAGAATCACCTTGGAAACACCAGGTAAGTAAAGGGCCAGCAGGATAAGACTCCCAGCTACCTTTTTACCTTTGCTATCTCTCAAAGTCATCATCATCAAGGGTAGTGAGAACTAAATGTCACTTCTTTGTGATTTCATTTCGGAGGGTTTATTCTTTTAATTTCAGTGACCTTAATTACTATCTCCAGTAGATGCTGGAGTCCATTAATGTATTCATTCATACCTTCTTCCACTTTTTTTTTTTTTTTTTTTCGTACCAGGTATTGGACTCAGGGGCACCTGACCACTGAGCCACATCCCTAGCCCTATTTTGTATTTTATTTAGAGCCTTAGTAAGTTGCTGAGGCTGATTTTGAACTCTGAATCAATCCTCCTGCCTCAGCCTCCCGAGCCACTGGAATTACAGTCGTGTATCACCACTTCTTCACTTTTGAACCCTCCTACCTAAAACAAATCTATAAGGAAAAAAAATTCTACGTAGTTTTAGCCCAGATCATATGTCAACAATTTTTTTGTCCTTAAAAATAACAATCACTTGAAAAAGCTGTGTTTTTATAACACTATTCTCAATTCATCTGTGGAAGCAGACCTGTAAATGTCTTATTCTTAGTAGGTTGTGATCTATTTTGTGACTTTTTTTAGACACACTGCTGACAGACTGGGAGAAGACAGAAATTAAATCCATCAGCAAACACTAATAGTTTAGAATTTTATTTAAAGAAAACAACTAGATCAGGATAGCTTACAATTACATATAGAATTAGTTCTCAGGCTTTGTTTCACAATCCCATTTCAACTTCTCAGTCTGCTTATTTAACGAAATGCCCATTTGTGCTTCTTGGGAAACTAAGAAACTTTATCCAAGAACATGAGTAGCACCGAAATGAAGACAAATATAAATTTCCAGAAAATGAATTAACCTTTTGTTTTTCTCTAGCCAAGATGAAATTGCTGCCGTTATATATAAAGTGCCATTAGCGGACAACTACCTGAAGAACATTGTCAAGCAAATTTACCAAGATCTACTTCAGGGCTGCCATTTCTACTGCTAGACCCATGGACCACAGCTGTAACAACCAAGCAAGAATTCACTTGATATTGTGTCATGGTCTCTATTGTCATTTAACTTTACCTTTAGGTCATAGTAAAATTCCTTTTGATGATGTAATAGTAAATTTATATGGTCTGTTTTTAAATCTGTACAATTAGAAATGATAAAAGCTTTCATATAGCCTTGTCAGGATGCTCGTCTTTATACCGAAGGTATAATAGGGAACTTAGGGAAATTTTCCCCTAACTAAAGTTGTGCTATCTGCTTTAGTATAACAATAAGAAATAACTTAAGAGGCATTCACTGATAAAACTAAGCTGTTCCCTATGTATAGAGCTATTAGGTAGTCTGGCTTTTTCCTAGCAGATATTGCTAGATTTAGAAATATGTCTGTCAACAGCTTGGTATGGTGCTATGCTTTTGTAATCTCAGCTATTCAGGAAGGTGAGGTGGGAGGATCACTTGAACCCACAAGTTTAAGTCCAGCCTGAACAACATAGCAAGATCCTATCTCAACAGCAACAAAAAATAAACATGTCTGTCTACAAACTATTCACCCTCCTTTTTCTCCATTTCAGAAATGATATGAAGAGAAAGCATTAGCACTCTTGGACTGGTTGCTATCTTTTCTTGGGGCCTTGCCCTTTATTCTATAGTGTCTATTAAAATTAATTCATTTTGACCAAGTACATGTATATAAATATATTAATGTTGTTTTTGTTTGTGATATAATGTTTGCCTTCTGCCTAAGTATATGAAGCATTTTCAGCAAGATTTTCAATCTTCTTTTATTAAATAATGAGATTTAAAACTATCATATCCAAAACTCTAGTTTCTGGTAGTAATAGTAAACTTTCCTGAAGCCACACAGTCCTCATACACAAAAATTAGAATATCCATTATTAAATGACCAGTATTATCTATGAAAGAACATTCACCCACACTTTAGTCAAATCCGAATCATGATAATTTACATTTTCTGTGTTGAATTCTAAATTAAAATATTTGTATTTTTAAACAAATTTGTGTTAACATTTTGCTTTTTAATTTAAGATAAGGTTAAAGTCCTGTGGGTCTGTGTATCTGTCCTCTTCATTGGTTTTTTTTTTTTACTTTTAATCAAAAGATTACCTGATTTTTAGCTTCAAAAGTCAACACAAATGCTGTGCGTGGTAACAGATACTGGTAATCCTAGTGATTTGGGAGGCTGAGGCAGGAGGATTACAAATTGGGGGCAGCCCCAACATTGTAGCTTGGCTCTAAGCAACTTAAAAAGACTCTGTCTCAAATAAAAAGGGTGGGATGTGGATCAGTGGTTAAGCCCCCTTGGGTTCAATTCCCAGTATCCCTACCCACAGAAAAAAACAACAAAGTCAAACAAAACTCATCTGGCATAAAAATCAAGACAGATGTTCCCTATTTCCATAAATTTCTTTAAAAACTTTTAAATTATCAGTTTTTTTCTTATTGGAGTTTTGTTTTTCCTGTATGTCTAATAATTAGAAGTTTGTTTTATTCATTTTGGTAACTGCAACAACCCATTCTAAGAATGATTTGACTTGTAATGATGATCTCTGCTTTCTTGGTTTCAAGTACATAATTATATTTATGTAGGTATTTGTGTTTTTCTTTGTTCAAACTTGGCTATTTTCATAAAATTTTTTGTTTTACTGATTTGAAAGCTGATTGTTTTTGCACTATTAAAATAAGTTTATTATTTGAAATCTTTTGAAATTAAGTAATGTCTCTTTATTAACTGTAGAGTATTTTACCATATATCCAGTAGGTCTTTTAAGATATACCAAAGTGATTCAGGAGGCTGAGACAAGAGGATCACATGTTTGAAGCCAGTCTCAGTCAGCAATAGCAACCTGCCTCAAAAAAAAAAAAAAAGAAAAAAGTTTAGAGGGAATACCAAGCCATCTGCATACACTCATCTAACTGAAAACAGATAGAATTAAAATATGTAAGAACCAAGTAAAACCACAGCTATCTTTGTATCTCTAATGAACAGTAAAAGAAAAGTGGGGGCTGGGAGTATCGCTTACTAGCAGAGCACGTGCAAGGTCCTGGATTCAATCCCAGGGTAAAACAAAAAAAAAAAAAAGGTTTCTTAGGAAGCTAACATCTATGAGCTAATGCAATGATTCCCAAAATCATGGTTCCCAGATCAGCAAACCTACTGAATCGGAAAACCAGATAAAGGGGCCAATAATCTGTAGGTTTTATATTTTCTCAACTTTTTTTAACTTGGGAGGCTCAGAGCGCCAGTTAAGATCAAAGGTTCACATTTCGACGCTGCAGGAAAAACAGTCTCGAGCCACACCTTTTTCCAAAGCCGGCAGTATCGCTAGCCGAAACTTCCGCAGCGGTGCATACTGGGAGATGTAGTTCCAGACCTGTCGTACCATTTCTTGGGACTTGTAGTCCTCTATCTGGGAAGAAAGCGACAACTCGCAAAGTTTAAACCAGTCCTTGAGGAGAAAGGGAAGAGCGTAATCCGCAGTATCACTCGCGCTCAAATTCTTTGGGCCCATCTCTATGCTCGCGACCAAAGGTGGAAGAGACTAAAATGCGGGTGCGAGAGGGGCGGGGCGACGTCACGTCGACGCGGACGTGACCCTGCCCGAGAATCTTTGGCGGGATTTCTGAAAGTCGCGGGCCGAAGTGCGGCTGGAGAGCCAGTGCTGAGGTGACTGAGGCGCCTTCCGAAACGCGTAGTTGGGTCCTGAAACTTGCTTGGGTTGTGCACAGTAAGCCGACAACCGGGTCGAGAAGTGGAGCGCGCGTTAGACCAGTGGACTGAAGTCGGAGCGCTTGCCCCGCCTCACCTAGCAGCACTGCAGACCCAGGTGAGTTTTAGGCACAGTTCGGTCTCCTTTCCAGAGCCGGGGCTTGTCCTATAGTTAGCGGCGTCCTGACCCGGCCCGTGCTCCCGCTGCGGGCTCTAGGGGCCCCTCCGCGCCAACTGAGAAACCCGAAGATGGCGGGGAGGGACTTGCCCGGGCCTAACTGACCCTCAGAGCTCGTTGTAGAGCAAAAAAAAAATCTATCCCAGGTGTTTAGTGCTTCAAACCCGGCGTTCATCTGATGGACTTTTGAGGAAGCCTAGATCCAGAGAGTGGTAGTCAGACCTAATTAATGTTACAGTCAAGGTTTCTGAATTCCTGGAACCTGGTTTTGCCTACAAAGTACCAACCTACAACTGCCCATATTAGATGATGTTTCCCATCATCTAATATGGGAAACCTTTCATGGTTCACGTAATGCCTAGGGAATGACCCGAATGAAGTTTGGTTTTTGTTTTTTAAATTTCTAAAAGGATATGTTTGTGTGTGTATAAATCATAAGTGTACGCAATTCCGTGAATTAATACAAAATGAATATGTAATTACCACTCAGGTCAAGACATAGAATGCTGGCTCCGGGTATATAGCTCAGTGGTAGATGGCTCATCCCAGCAGTACTCAAGTCCTGGATTAATTCCCAGCCCCGCGCAAAAAAAAAAAAAAGCACCCCAGAAGCCTGCCTTGAACCTCCTTGTGTTATATTTGACTTCTAACACCATTGACTAACTTGGCCTGTTTTTTTGAATACATCAACAGCATACAATGTTGTTTTTCTACATGCTCATCAAATGTCAGTATTTGTATTTTTAATTTTCCGCTCTTCTGGTGGGTATAATATCTCATTGTGGTTTTAATTTTCCTGATTACTGAAAAGGTTGAGCTTTTTGTTCATGTGTTTTTTGGACATTTGGGTATCTTCTATTGCGAAATACTTGTTCGCATCTTTTGCCTATTTTTCTCTTGGGTTTTCTGTTTTTTCCTTACTGATTTGAAGGGGTTCTATTTATTCTGGTTATCAATCTATGTGGTAAATAGTTTCTACTGTGACTGATTTTTTTTTTCATGCTATTATGTGGTTTCTTTTGATGAATAGACGTTCTGATTTAAATATAGTCCAGTTTTGTAGTCTTCTTTTTCCTTTTTAGTTGTTGCATTACTTACCCAATTCAAGAAATCGTTATCTAGCCTAAGGTTGTGAAAATATTCTTATATTCTGAAAACTTTCTTTTACCTCTTATATTTAAGTATAAAATCTAAATTGGAAATCTGTTTTTCCCCTTGTGTGAGAGATGTGTCAAGTTCATTTTATTCTATAAGGCTATCTACTCAACACAGCACTCACTACTTATTAAACAGACCATCCTTCCCCATTATTCTGCAATCTTTTTCATAAATAAAAGAAAATACTGACATGTATTCCTGTGATTCTGATATGAAATTATCATCAATTCACAGTTTTTTAAATTTTCCACCTGAGAGAGATGGACCTAAACCAGTTAATAACAAATGGTCATCCTGTCTTCTGTCAAGTCTTCCAAGAGTAGAGTTCCTATTATCTTTGGGGTTAAATTTGTCCTCACATGTGTCCAGATTCTTTCTCTTCTCATCTCTTCTCTTCCTCCCTCTGGAGGTTCTCTACCACTGAACTACATTTCCCAGCCCTTGTCCAGATTTTTTTGATGTGACCGCCACCACTACTAGTGATTGAACCCAGGGGCACCCTATCACTGAGCTACATCCCCATCCCTTTTAATTTTGAGATAAGGTCTCAGTTGCTCAGGCTAGCCTCAAACTTGAGATCCTCTTGCCTCAGCCTCCCAAATTGCTGGGATTATAGCATCCAGTTTTTTATATAAATTGAAGTCCACTTATTATTGTGAACATAAGACTTTTACACTTTCATTAATATACCTTGAAGATAATTTGATGTTTTTTGTTCTTAGTTCTTTTTGAGCTGAGTATATAACTATGATAATAGCCTTACATGTGGTGTGGTGGTGCTCAGCTATAATCTCAACTACTTAGAAGGCTGAATCAATCCATAGTTGGTTAAATCCTCAATGTAGAACACCAATAGGGAGGGCCAACAGTAATTCTTCAGAGGTTAGTTGCAAAACTAACTTTAAGGCTCTTTCCTTACTCCCATAGTAGTTCTTTAGTGTTCATATTGTTGGCCATCTGTTTTTTTGTTTGTTTGTTTCAGTAATGGCTATGCAGATGCAGCTTGAAGCAAACGCAGATACTTCAGTTGAAGAAGAAAGCTTTGGCCCACAACCTGTTTCACGGTTAGAGGTATGTTCATAGTTACTAATTTTTTAATTATGATGCTGTACTAGATTCTCCCTAATGGGGGATAGCAACCTTTACTTAAACTGTAGGTTTATTCCTTGGTAAAAACCCAAAGAGTTTTCAGAGGTTGTCAAGAATACTGTGGAGCCTGGTGTGGTAGAGCAGCATGCCTGTAATCCCAGCAATTTAGCGAGACCCTGTCTCAAAATTTAAAAATAAAAGTGGCTGGGATGTGACTCAGTGGTTAAGTACTCCTGGGTTCAATCCCCAGTACCCACACCCTCACCCAAAAAAAAAAATAATGTAGAAAGGTTTGATATTATTGCTAAACATATCAGGCCAAGTCTTTTCTTTTGTCAACACTTTTCTTCGTATTGTTTTTCTTTCTCAGAGCTGGATTTTCTTATATAGGCTAGGGTCCTATGGTGGATTAAGTATGCTTGCACTAAGTATGAAGATGTTGTCCAGGAACTATGGTGGCCTGGACTGGTTATGCAGGGAGGAAGAGGGAGCCACTTCCCTCTGTTCACCCAGATCGCTGCTGAAGTTACTGTGCTATCATAGACAGGAAGAAAGTGTGGGATTGTTAAGGTATAAGAGCCAAACTCAAATTTGTGACCCTGCCTAAGAATAGCAAGCACCAGAACTGGGGCTTTGCAGTATTTTGGCCTGTTGTAACTGATTTGAGTTGAAAGAAGTGAGAGGGAAAGCTTTTGATTTTTCTATTTCCTTTTGCTTAATTCTCCCATTTCCAACTAAGCTTCAAGACTCTAGAGGTTACTTAAATTGGTTTCTGATAAACATTTGAGAATTCAGAGTCATAATTTTTGGTGCCATGAGCATCCTTATACTTCCACATAGGTATTGGTTTCTGTTGGCAAATA